ATGCCTTTCTAAAACACACCAGACAAAAGAAAACTTAGTAACTGGCACTGAACTTACGGTTAATTGGAAGTTAAAACTTGACAAATATTCTAATATGTTACACATATTTCCAGAACCATGAACTGCACGTGTAACCAGATGACCACCGATAATAACGAAACATAGATTTGGGGAAATGCCAGTTTAAAAAAATCAGATTTTAAACTGCTATAAACTTAAAATGTTATAACCTTTAAATCAGTTTAAGTGGTTGTAATTCCAGGGGGTGGATATTTCCGCTATCGGTCATCTCAGAAAGGAGTGAACCCTGGGGCAGGAAATGCAAACCGTCCCTGGACTGGGCAAGAAGAACTCCCCCTTTACCTCTGAGTATAGCAGCCAAGAAGGCCTGGGGTGTTTCTGTGGAGGAGATGGGATGCCCCGGGAGGTCAGCTTCACAGGCCATATGAGGATAACTGTGTCTGCTTTGTCACTGGTGGTGGTGAGGATGGCAACAGCATCATCAACAACAGTGCACAGAAATAGGCAGTTCTGGAACAGTAAGATCAAGGGTGGCATTGTGAAACCAGCAACACAAATGAGCTTGAACTCAAGCAGAATGTGAGGAGAGTCAGGTCTCCTCTCCAGGTGGGAAAGGAGCATCAGCATTGCTTGCTCTGGCTAGCCTGATGACTTCACAAGAGCCATCAACTGAAAGGCAGCAGCGTAGAGCATGACACAAAGCCCTGAGGACTCTGTTCTGACGCGCCCACAAGGCAGCACCCCAGGAAACCCTGGAAGAGAGGTGGGGATGACTTAAAGAGGACTTTACTCCAGGCCTTTGCCACTCTAAGCCTTAATAGTTTAGTAAAATGAATAAACAACTATGGAGAAACATAACAACAAAGGATAAAATTGATCATAAAAATGCAGGGGCGCCTGGGTGGCGCAGTCAGTTAAGCGTCCGACTTCAGCCAGGTCACGATCTCGCGGTCCGTGAGTTCGAGCCCCGCGTCGGGCTCTGGGCTGATGGCTCAGAGCCTGGAGCCTGTTTCCAATTCTGTGTCTCCCTCTCTCTCTGCCCCTCCCCCGTTCATGCTCTGTCTCTCTCTGTCCCAAAAATAAATAAACGTTGAAAAAAAAAAAAAAGAAAAAAAATGCATTAGAATATTCATATGTAAGTAGAATTTTAGACGCAAGTTGATTTAACCATCTGGGGGTGGGAGAGGAACCAGGGGGAAGGGCAGGCATGACCCAAAAGCAGAACAAAAACTAAACATAGATACAAGAGAAAAATGGAAAGGGACAGTTGTACTCCACCTGGTGTCCATAAGCCACAATGGAAATTAAACATCTAGTTCTTTGCTAAAGTTGGATCACAAAAGCATCTCTGGGCTTGCAAACCCTTGAAAGAAAGTATATTAGCTTATGGGTTGTCGCTAAGAAATGGCTTGAAGGCCCAAACAAGGTATCCCAGGACCCCAAGTCCCTCCCCAGGCTATAATCAAATGGAAACACAGGCAAGTGAAGGCATGGGACTCCCAGACATGAAAGTGGGCAGGTTTATGGAGTTACCTATGGGGTGGCGGCTGACCCAAGGGATGAACTGCATGGAAATGTGGTGGAATAAAAGCGTAATAACTGACCTGGTTACTGGCCAGGAGAAATAAATGAGTTTCTAGTGCCTTTTCTCACCATCTGCTTTCTCTTTCCAGATCTCTGCACAAATTGGGTCTTTTTTTTTTTTTTTAGGTTTATTTATTTATTTTGAGAGAGGGAGAGAAGCCATGGGAGAAGGGCAGAGAAAGAGGACAGAGGATCTGAAGCAGGCTCTGCGCTGACAGCAGGGAGCCCGATGTGGGGCTCGAACTCACTAACAGTGAAATCATGACCTAAGCCGAAGTCAGACACTTAATGGACCGAGCCACCCAGATGCCCCAGAACTGGTTCTTAAAACAGGTGACCATCCTTTAATGGCAATGCAATTAACCAGAAATGCAGCAATCGTGATGTCCATTGTTCCAGCCAAAGCTGTCTGTGTTTCATGTTTGCCAAGGAGCAAGTCCACCTGGAGCAAGTGTAACTCCATTTTCACGCCAATCATTGTTATGTAAGTAAAATGGAAATCACTGTTTTGAAACAGAGAAATGGGATTTTTAGATGAAGATGACGAAGTGCCTTACAGTCCAACTCCACTTTACAGAGGAGGACATTGAGACACACGAATTAATGGCAAACCTAGAGCTAGAATCAAGTCACTGCTCTTCTTGGGAGATTTGGAACATATTCAGAGAGATTGTTAGGGATTTATGATGCATGAACGTATATCACAGTTGGAGGAACAAGAAAATTTTAATCTGGAAAAGGGATGATTCAGGGGCATCCTAACTACTGCCAAGTAGCTCAAGGACCAGCAGAAAGATAAGGGCTGGAACTTGTTCTTTTGGCCTGAGGAAAGGAGGATCATTGGAGAGAAGTTTAAGGGTTTCAGTTTTATACGGTTAAATTTTGCCAAAACAATTTCTTGGGGGACAGCAAATTTTCTGTCACCTGAAGCTTTTCAGAACACACCGGAAGGGGAGTTCCTGGGGGGCTCAGTCGTTTGAGTATGTGACCTTGGCTCAGGTCATGTGATCTCATGGTTCCTTGGTTTGAGCCTCGCGTCGGGTTCACTGTTGTAAGCGTGGAGCCTGCTTCGGACCCTCTGTCCTCCCGCTCTCTGCACCTCTCTTGCTCATACTCCCTCTCTCTCAAAAATAAACATTTAAAAAAATAAAAGAATAGACTGGAAGGTAACATAGTGTGTAGTGTGTATGTTTTGCCTATGGAAAGTGGTGGGGCAAGGGGTGTGGAGGAAAGAATTCAGGCATGAAAATCATTGGATGGGGTGACCTTTAAGAGTATGTGATTCTTTACAACCTGGCACCAAATCAGGGTTTCACTCTTGCCTTTGAACTCTAAAGCCTATCTTCCCATCTCTTTGCAATAGTTTAAATTTTAATCTGTTTCATATTTCAGGGTATTATGCCCCGAATATTTGATTTGAATGCTGTGGCAGAAGGTCACTCATATTCATTTATTTTCTTTTAGTCTTATACACTTGCAGTGAGTCTTCTGAATCCATTATGCAAACACATGCAAATCATATGCAAATAGTGTGGCCTTGGAAAATGACAAAATCCTATGGCCTTAACTGAGCCATCAAACCTTTTTTTTTTTTTTGAAAAGAAAAGTAATATACCTTTTCAACATCTCTGGGGCAGGAGACAATTTCCTGATAGAGGTATTTACATGACATTGGAACTGGTTAATCAGAGGAGTAACACCTTCTTCGTATTTATGTAAGGATTAAAGGTCAAGAGAGCATTTCCACATGTATGATCCCATTTGATCCTCATAATTACCCTGTGAGATCGGCAGAACAGGAACTGCACTTCCTGTTCTAGTTTTCAGATGGGAAGCAGACTCACTTAAGTGACATGACTTGCCCAAGTTCACCCAGTTAACAACCAATGGATCTGAGGCTGAAAACTCCCCTGCTTCAAGACCAGCTCTTGCTTCTCGTCGTGATTCAGGCCTTTAAAGCAAGACGGGCTGTCATCAGCCTGGGTTTGCTTGAACCATGTTTTGCCAAAAGCATCTTTGGAACTGCTTCTATTGATAACGATGGCGTTTTAGGGGAGACTAGGAAAGCCCTAGCACAGTGCTTGGGCCATAGTTTCTCCAACCTGCTCGGCTTTTTAGCATCTGCTCTGAAACCTTCAGACGAAGAACTTTCTTTATCTCACCCATTCTTCTCTCCTGCAGGAAGCAAAACTCTTTCTAAAACTATGGAGGGTAATGGCACAGTCTCCACAGTGAGACAGTGGATCTGAAGCCTTCATCCACCATTTTCTAGTCGTGTGGCCTTGGAGAGGTCATTGAATTTCTCTCCACACCAGTTTTTACATCTATGAAGTGGGTGAAATAATAGCATCTCTCTGGTAGAAAATGTGATAAGGGTATAAACACATACAAAAGAATCCCACCTGGGGTCTGACGTACAATAAGTGCTCGATAAATGGTAGGTCCTACAATGACTTTATTAGCAGAAGTAATACAGTAGTGGTAGCAGTATCTCAAGTTGTTCTGAACTCTGAAGCTAAGAACGGGACTCTTGGAAATGAAGTGGAAGAAAAGCAATGCCAAGCAAGCCCTCTATGCCAGAAGGTTGGGAAACAACGTCTGAAGTAGCTAAATTCAGCCCAGGGAGGAATGTTTGAAATTTGACCTTTTTTAATAACTACCACATCTTGCGCCATGATGAGGGCAAGTGCAATCCTGCTTCAAGCTATTTCCAAGAAGAAAGAGAGCCAAGGCTGACATCCTTAACTCTGCTCTCTGAGCCAGAATGCTCTGGATACAGCAGTGTCCCCTGCTTCCCTGGGTCGGGTTCAAAGGGAAAAAGAGGAGACTCCACCCCAGCTGATTTAGCCGGCCTGAATCACAGGGTCTGAGGATGGATGTGTCCTCCTTCTGGACCAAGACCAGAGGCAATACGAACCGGGTGCCCGAGGCAGCAGGGGAGGTGCAAAGAGCAGGTACAGCCCCTTTCTGGGGATGGCCCTTTCCCTCCTGCTCCAGTACCCACCTCAGCAGGTGCCACTGCAGAACCCGGTCCTTCCATTTGCCCCCAAGGCACGCCGCTGCACCTGTCCAGGTCACTCACCTAGCACAACTAACAAAGTGGCCTCCTTTGTGAGGACAGCTTCCTGCTTCTATAGTCTGTCTCGCCGAAGAGACCAGAAGCTGTTGGAATTAGCCAAACTCTTGAAGCTGGCCTAATGTCCATAGAAACCATCCCATTGAGAGTCCGGGTGACCGGCCCCAGAGGGGTGCTCAACTGATTCATATTTGCCAGGAAACACACTGGGCCATTCTGAGGCTGGGTTCTCAGCTATTTTTGGCAAGGAGGATTGGTGATATGCAAAAGGGACTTCCTTTTTTTTTTTTTTTTTTTTTTTTTTTGCAGCACAGAACCAGCTAAGCAATCAACAGCATTTCTTGTTCCCAGATCACCCTTCTGAGCACTTCTCTGCCCGCCGAATAACTGAGGCCATTAGAGTTTGATTCCATTTCTCTGCTCCAGGCACAAGATAAGCCCACCAAGCTGGGGTGGCCTCATTCGGGTGATGGCTCCCTGTGCCGGCTGCTTCCTGTTGGCAGTGATGTTTTCTGCCAGCTGTAAAGCCATCACCTCCTCGGATCAGATGTGCACTGAGGTGAGTCCAAACTGTTTGTCTTTATCCAGATTAAACTGCCTGGAAATTTTGAGATTCAGCACGCAGTCCTATCTGAGCCTTGGCCTCCCTATATTCACTGTCTTTAAAAGGGTGACAGGGTATGGAGAAAGGTTCTTCTTCAGAATGAAGAAGGAGCCATAGAGCTCAGCCAGGGGATGATCTCAAAAATTATCCGTTGGAAGAAGTGAGAGTTTTCCTCCTCTACAAACAATTCCCTCGAAACGATCCTAATTGAGACATATGATACCAACAGGGTCTCGGTACAAAGAGCAGCCTTCCAAATGTGCTTCCAGAATGGAGGTGCTGTTTGTCCAACATCCCAGCATATGGCCACTACTCCACAAACAGTTTTTTGGTTTCCTGGAGATTAGCGAAGATGGCCTGTGCCAGGTTTTAGAGCCTATAGAGATCACTCTGAATGAGTCTGGCTTTCTCCTCCAATTGGACAGCCCTCCATCTGTTTTACTGACCCACAGGAGTAACATTGGAGAACAGAGCCAAACTGCATCTTCTGTTTTGGCCTTAACAATATTTACCAACTCGTGGGAAGTTCTTGGAGGGGGTCCCTTGCCATCTTCAAAAATGCTGCAACCTTCCTCTCACTGAGAAACTGCTCATAATTCTGGGGGCTAGACGTCTAAGATCAGGCGTCAGCAAGGTTAGTTTCTCGGAGACCTCATTCATTGGCTCTCCCTGTGTAGACGGCCATCTTCCGTGTCTTCACATCATCTTCCCTTTGTATGTGTCTAATTTATTCTTCTTATAGGGACACCAGTCATACTATATTAGGGCCCATCCTAATGATTTCAGTTCAACTTAATTACCTTTTTAAAGACTCTTTTTTCCAAATAAAGTCACCTTCTGAGTACTCGGGTTAAGACTTCAGCATAGGAATTTGGGAATGACACAAAGCAGCCCGCAACAGAAGGGGTCAAGTAAGAGGTTTTTATCAGCCCCAGAAGGCTCTCTCTTCAACACTCAGGTCAGAAGGTCAATTACACACATACGTGTAGGTGACATGATATGAGGGTAGGAGTGAGAACACCACCTCCTCAGTGACCAGGTAGGTATGCTACCCACCATCTGCCAACATCCTCAGGTAGGATAATATCACACTTAAATTCCAATTCCCAGCTTATTGGGAACCAGGCTATTTTAAATACCCCATTCTGAAGCTTACCAGTTCAACTCTTAAATCCCTGCATTGCTGCAAAGCCTGCACAGCCCTTCAGAAGCCCACACAGGAGTCCTGGGAGATTCTGGGAAGCCCATGGAAATGCTGGACCAGTCTAGCTTCCTACTGAAGACATTAGGTTCCAGAGTTGCCCGTTGCTTTTTGCAAGTGGCTCCTGCTTTGGCAGAGTAGAGGGGAGAGAAACAGGGACCGTGCCCTAGTCTTTTTGTTGCCTGTTTCTGAGGCCTCCCTGACATTCAGGTGGCAAAAGTGATGCTGAGGGTCCCAGGATCTCCAGGCCTGTCCCTATGTGGCAGTAAGAGCTTTTCTTCTTGGTTAAGTCAGGTGAGACTGAAACCTCTGCAGGTGAGACTGCAGCCCTCCCTCTGAAAGGACTGATTTTAAATGCCTTGGAACCAAGGCAATTAACATTGGATCTATACTTGCATTTATATATCCTCTATCGTGTCTGAGTTCTCAGCAGCAGGATTCTCAGGCTGTTTACCAGCCATCACTCTATGTGTGTACTGGCAAGTTCCTGGGGGTTACCAAGATGAATGAGAGTTTGTTCCTGAAGGTAAGGAACTTCTGGGCTGCAGAAAGTGGAATAAAAATGGAAGTGGTGGAAGAGGAAGCTTTGGGTTGAAGGGTCTGGCCCCTTTTCAAGTGTACATTACTCTAGCCTGCCTGGCCCTCATGCTGGCTTTCCTTTCCCTCTTTTATTCTCTCTTCCAGTTGAAGCAGAATTAACCACATACTGTCTGTGTGCTCATGTGGCCCCCATTAGCTTATCAGGCCCTATCTTGAAAACAAAGGTGGGTTGGTTTGTTTGTGTTTTTTTTTTTTTTTTTGCTTTGTTTTGAGTTTAGTAAACCTTTTAATGAAGTAAAACATACATACAGAAGGTTCCCCAATCCTAAGTGTACAGTTTAATGAGTCTTTACCAAAGTGAGCACATCTGTGTGTCCAGCGCACAGATCAAGAAATAGCACCTTCTCAGCAACTCAGAAGCCCCCTCGTGCATATTCCCAGTCAGTAGCCCCCAGGGGCACCCGGTACTCTTAACTTCTATCATCAAAGAAAGATTTTGCCTCTTTGTGAATTTTATATACCAGAGACCACCTGCTGTATAGTCTTTTGTGTCTGGCTTCTTTCGCAAAGCAGTAAATATGGGACATTTACCAAAGATGCTGCATACAGCAATCATTTGTTTATTTTCATTGCTGAATGGTATTCGGTTGTACTAGCGAACCACTATTTATTTATTCATCCTACTGTTAGTGGCCGTTTGCACTGCTGTCCATTTCTTGGCTATTATAAATGCTGCTGCTTTGGACATTCATATCTCTGTATCTAGCGAACAAATATGCAAATCTCTATTAGGTGTTTGCCAGGGCGGCGATGTATTGGGTCATAGGGTATACATATATTTAATTTCAGTAGGTATCGCCAACCTGTTTTCCAAAGGGTTAGTACCCATTTATACTCATTGGCAATGTATGTGAATTCTGATTACTCCCCATCTTAATATTTGCTATTGTTTGTTTAAGAATGTTAACAATTCTGATGGGTGAATAATGATATTTCATTGGGATTTAATTTTTACTTTCCTGATGACTGAGGATATTTTCAACTTTGTTAGCCATTTGCATATCTACGTGTGCATGTGTATGAGAGAGACACAGAAAGTTCTTTAATGCAGCTTGATTTATAATTGTTCCTTTATTCTCAGCGCATTTCTGTCCTGTTTAAAAAAACTTGCCGACCTTGAGGCCATGACAGTATTATCCTCTCTTTTCTGGAAGTTGACTTTGTATTTATCTCTATTGTTAGGTTTCACATTTAGAGCTATAGCCGACTGGAATTGTTTTCTGCATACAATGTGAAGTGGGAGTCAAGATGAATTTTTAGTAAAACTTTTTGTTTGAAAATATTTCTAAGGTAGACAAGCTCTAAAAATATAATGAGCCTCCATAAACACTCCATGTGGAATCTTCCACTGTTCTATTCTACTGTTGTTTTCTTCTGTATGTGTGTGTTTCTTGTGTTATATTCTTCTATTGTTTTCTCTGTATGCATGTGAGCCATAAGTAACAAAATTAGAGCCAGGACCAGGTCTTTGGAGGCTGACAGATGTGCAAAGCATAAGTGAAATACAGTGTTCTGTGATTTGAATTCTGGTAACAGTTTAGATACACTCTTGAATAATTACACTGTCGTGTAGACATGCCCCTTCATTTCAGATGGGCTCAATGGTGGCTATCCTGTCCACTCAAACCTATGGGAGGAAGACAGTTCTTCTTCAGTCCTAGGTAGGGGTGGGAAATGCCTAGTGGAGCTCTTTTTTGGAAGAACTCCAAGTTCACAAATTCACAGATACAGAGGCTTATGAAGAGCTCTAAACAATGACATGATATTGTGATGAACCAGTAAAACACAAACTCCTCTTATGAGTGCTCAACGTACATGGTCTCATTAATCCTCCGAGTTGGCCCACAAAGAAGGTTATCCCCCATCTATAGGTGGCGAAAAAGAAGGCTCAGAGAATACAGTTTAGTGGTTGAAAGCTGGGATCTGAACCCAAGCAGTCTGACTCAAGATACATAGAAAATGAACTGCATATAACTGGGATGCCCTTTGCCTGTAGGAATCAGGTTAACAATGAAATTTTAGGACTGTGCCCTCTTGGGAATATTTTGTTTTATTTTCAGAGAGTAATTGTTACTCTGGGATTTGATGCAGTCACACTGCTAACTCTGGAGGGAGGCTCAGTGTTCTGCATGCCAGACTCTGTGCATGGGGTCGCTGGCTGCGGTGTATGCCGAATGCAGAGGAGACGTTGGAAAGGTGGGAATCAGCACTTGGTGAAACTCAAAAGGTTCAAAATTAGAAAATGATTTCAACACTTTCGAGACGAGAAAATACAATGGGATAGCAGAGAGTTAGAGTTACAGCAGAAGGAAGCAAAATAAGATCCTGATTGAAAAAATGCAAATGAATTACCTGGAAGGAAAAGGGATTGCAAACACAGATTTAACACTTACGAGTCCCGCTCTGTGGAAAAGGGACGGCTCTGATATGAAGCTGGAGACAAAGTGGTTGGTGCAGGTCCCAGTGCACAGCAGGTCCTGAGGAAATGGCCCATGACTTAGGACCGGGGGTAGGCATGGGGTTGTTGTGAATGCCATGTCTCCTTGCACAGCCGTCCTGGCTGCACGGGTTCACATCAAGAAGGGACCTGCAAAAGTAGGAGTGGGAGAAGGTGATTTTCGACAATAACCCCACACTGAGGGCTAGAGAATGAAGGCTGCTTTGACAGGAAGTAGTCACGTGGCGCTCAGAGGACCCACGGGGGCTGCAGAAGCAGGGGTGGGTATCTGCCTGGAGGAGCAACTATACATGTGACCCTGGCAGCCAGCCCAGTCCTATATTCCTTCTCTGCATCCTGTCCCTTCTCCATTGCAGGGTCATGCTGCAGTCCTAGAATCCTGTGCTCTACTCATCACGACTCCCTCTCAAAAAGTTTTGTGAGGATCCTGGCAGTGAGAAAGACACAACCTCACTCATGTAGTATTTCTACCAAAACTGTATAACCTGAATCAAATCATGAGGAAAGATGCTTCAAGTGAGGGACATTGTGTGTGTGTGTGTGTGTGTGTGTGTGTGTGTTATTGATAAATATATCAATGCCATGAGAGACAACAAAAGGCTAAGGAATTGCCTCAAACTAAAGACACACAAAAACTAAATGCAATGTGTGAACGTGGACTAGAAAAAACAAAATTACTATAAAGGATAATATTAAGACAATTGCCAAAATGTGTACACTGTATAATAACATTGTATCGATGTTCAATATTCTCAATTAGGCATTGGCACTGTGGTTATAGAAGAGATGTCCTTGTTCTCAGGAGACTTAGGGGTAATGGGTCATGATGTCTACAATTTACTCTCAACAAAAAAGGAATGAGAACAACAGTGTGTGTGTGTGTGTGTGTGTGTGTGTGTGTATACTTCCTGCCTTAAAAAATTTGAGAGACTATTAAAAAAATTTTTTTAAGGGGGTGGGGCCCCTGGGTGGCTCAGTCGGTTGAGCGTCCGGCTTCGGCTCAGGTCATGATCTCACAATTTGTGAGTTTGAGCCCCGCGTCGGGCTCTGTGCTGACAGCTCAGAGCCTGGAGCCTGCTTCAGATTCTGTGTCTCCCCCTCTCTCTGCCTCTCCCATGCTCATGCTCTCTCTCTGTCTCTCAATAATAAATAAAAACATTTTTAAAAATTTAAAAAAAATTCGAGAGACTGGAAACAATTGAATGCTGCTTGAGTGATTCCAGAGCAGGGGACGCTTCATGTCACCATCTGTAATAGTAACTGTGAGTGTACAAGAATGTGAATACGAAAGCCAAAGGGGAAGGGTCGCGTGTATGGAGCTCAGGACATTCTCCAAAATGTGCTTGCTTTTTAAATTCTCTTATAAGCTGCAATTCTTGTCATTTGCCTCGTTCTCCCAGGAATCAAGGGCAGAGAGTTCATTGTACTTTATACCTAAGTAGAGATTAATGTATGACACCGGCTCATGGTGGGTTTCTCAGAACTCTGTGGGAATGTTATCCACTAGTTTTGTTTTTCACCGGGATAAAACTGAGCTATTTCATTTATCTGCCTTTCCATTTGCTAGAAGCTCCCTCAGGCCACTGGCTCCATAGAGCTCCTGCTGGATTCTCAACTTTCCGAATCACATTAATGCAGTAAAAGTGCTTAGTAAAGCACAGAAGAGGACTAATTTAGGTGTCACGGGCGCTTATATATTCAGAAGAAGGAGGGAATTGCCAGCGTGGCGCCTTTTACTGTAGGACCAGAATAGCTCAAGACAAATTGAGGAAAGGTCCCTTTCTCCAAGTATATGTGACATCGGTTACGCCAGTGCACGCCAGAAAAGGGAAATGTCTTCTCAAAGCTCCTCCAAACCTTAGCAGCTACTGGGGAAGTTACATTCATTTCCTCTTGGGGCCATCCATGTGCATGGGCACAAGGGGGGTCTGGCAACATGTGTTTTTCCCACCAGTCAGCTACATCCAAAGTTTTAAAGGCGAAGTGTGAATTTCAAGGACATTAGGTGGATTTGTGGCAGTGCCTGGAGGACGTTGGGTCTATAAAATGAGGAATGAATTACAAGGAAATAAAAATATGGCATTTTCATCAGTAACACTGATAATATTATCACAATATAGAAGAAAACGTGATTTCCAGTAGGTGAGCATGCATACGCTCGCAGTACCCACAAAAAATGCACCACTACGCAGAAGATGGAGTAAAGCAGAAAGCAATTAAAATGTGACATCTCTAAAGCATCAGGCTTCATAGTAAAGGAGAACATGCTCAGTCTTCTGTTCCCAGCTAAGCAGGATTGTCTGCAACTGAGGATGGGGACAGAACATTTTGAAACAGATACAGAAGTAGTTACAAGGAGCCTCCATGTATATATCGACGTTCGACAATCACTGATATTTTGCCTACTGATTTCATGTATCCCCTCCTCCCCTCCTTCATGCCCAGAATATTTTAAAAGAAATCCCAAACATCAAGTCATTTTATGCAGAAATACTTCAAAATGCATTTCAAAAGAATAAGAACATTGCTGTTATCATTCAAAAATTCCTAATTCCTTAATATTCTCTAATATCGTGTCCTCAAAGTTTCTTGATAGTCTATACAATGTCTTTTCCTGATGCTTCATGTGAATCAGAATCAAAACGAGGGCTACTCTGTTGTTGGTTGTATCTCTTAAAGAGCTTCTATTGCTGTCTCTTTTAACAGGAGCAGTCTCCTCTTGCCCCATCCACCTTCCTCTCTACTTCCCCAACACCATTCACATGTCAACAAAACAAAGTCAGTTATTCTACAGGATGCTCCGCCTTGGGCATTTGGCTGACAGCTACCGTGAAGGCTGTTTTAACTTAAACCTCTCGTTTCATTTGTAGGCTATAAATTAAGCCTAAAGTCTTGTATTCAAATTTAATTTCTGGGGGGCAGGAATCTGTCTCCATCAGAAAGTGTGAAATGTCTGATTGTCTTGTTCTGTTAATGCTAACGCAGAGTTGATCTGTTTTCAAAATGAAATAAAACATTTCCATGCATCCCAAATCAGAACTGTGTAAGTATAATCAAGATAAGTCTTCCTTCCCTGCTTCTCTATCTGGTTCCTTTTTTCCCCTTCAAGGCAATGAGTGTGGGGCCTTTCCCCATGGCTTCTCTTTGCAAATGTAAGAAATACACATACAGTATGCTATATGTGACATACCATATACTGTATATACTATAAGGTCACTCTGCACCTTGCTTTTTACACCTTATAATATGCCTGGATGTCACTCCATATTAACATGTGGAGACCCTACTCATTCCATATTCAACTGCAGAAGATTCCATCTTGTGAATGGACCATATTTTGTTCAACTAGTCCTACAGTGATGAATAATCTGGTGACTGCCTACATTTTGGTATTACAAAAATATGCTAAAATAATCTTATGCACAAGTCACTTTGGGTATTTGCAGGTGTGTATTTGGTAAGATTCCTAGAAGTGGGATTGCTGTGCAAAGGATAAAATATGTGTAATTTTGCTAATCAATCAAATTACCAACTCTGATATTAATTTCCGTTGTTTCTATTGTCAGAAAGAAGCCAACAAAACCTATAACTGTGAAAATTTAGGTCTCACAGAAGTTCCTGACACTCTACCAAACACAACAGAATTTTTAGAATTTGGCTTTAATTTCTTGCCTGTAATTGAAAATACAACTTTCACCAGACTCATAGATCTTATGTTTTTGGACTTAACCAGGTATGTATCTGAGTTCCTTCTGTGTGGCTGATGTTTTACTTATGGAATAATACAACCTGCATTCAAATTGTTTCCAGGACCTTCTTTTGGGAGCACAGGGGCGTTCTACCTATACTGTGTGTTTACTCTTCCCCATGAAATATTTTTATGCAGGTGAAATGTTGTATTAATGAAACCCAATAAGTGAACAGAAGAGTGGATTGTTTTCAAACGATGCTGCATCAACAGTGTTGTTTAAGAAGTTTTAAGGAATACTAAAGACAAATCTTTCATTCAGTCAGATGCCGTATTATACTACATGTTAGCATAGTTTATTATTGGGTGATAACATTTTAAGAAAAATTTACAGAAGAAACACATAAGCCACTAACTTTCTCCCCTGTAAGTTGGGAAAATAGTTCCATCATTTAATTTTAGAAGCAGAGTCAGGATTCCAAATACTGAACCAGTGTTTGTGAACCAGAAGGCAGAAGTATTACAAGAAAATAAGAGAAGAAACCAGAAGGGAATTGCAACATGATTGTGTGTGTGTGTGTGTGTGTGTGTGTGTGTGTGTGTGTGTGTGTGAGGGGAAAGGGCTTTGCATGTGTATGAGGCATGTATCCTTTGCAGCAGCTCTATTTCTTAGGTGGTTCAGTTTCAGCTTCTGCCCAGGGTAGCAGAACATTCACATCCGTAAGACTATATTCATCTTTATAACCACCCCTGGGAGGTAGGCATGCTGTATATTACAGTCCAACTCATGTTCGAAGAGGAAGCAAAAGCTCAAGGAGATTTGGTGAGTTTGGTTAAGGTCACAAAGTAAGGCAACTGGGTCTCTGCTCTCCTGACTCTCAGTCCAGAGTCCCCCAAATGACCCCAGGCCACCTCCACGGCCAAGATTCCACTTGTTGCCTAGCAACACTTCACTGAGACAAAGTCTTGCCCTTGCAGATAGGGGCAGAGATTACTCTGCTACCTACCTAGTATGCCCCCAGGACATTTACTTGCCCTCTGCTTTACCACTTCTCATTTTTAGATGAAATGGATTTGACCACATTTTGAAGGAGTGCATGGGGCCATGACAGCTTCTCTAGATAGAAGACTCTAAGTTTCCTCTTGTTATTTTCGAAAGATGATAAAAAATATGACCTCATACTTCCTAAAATCCCTCTCCTTAGTCCCCTAGCCCCTGCCTTTTATCTGGCCACCAATCAGATACAATTTTTATTCTTTTAAACAGCCACATTTCTTTAGCTCTACCAACATGTTTTCTGGGGTTTTTTGCTCATTCTTCCATCTTGCTTTTCAGACTTCCTCTCTGGAATAATTTTTCTTTTTTCCTGAAGTACATCCCCCAAAATGTCTTTGGTGAAAGTCTCTTAGGATTAAACTCCCTCGGTTTTTGTTTTTCCGAAAATGTCTTTATTTTACTCTCTTTCTTATATTTTTTTTTCAACGTTTATTTATTTTTTTGGGACAGAGAGAGACAGAGCATGAACGGGGAGGGGAGGGGCAGAGAGAGAGGGAGACACAGAATCGGAAACAGGCTTCAGGCTCTGAGCCATCAGCCCAGAGCCTGACGCGGGGCTCGAACTCACGGACCACGAGATCGTGACCTGGCTGAAGTCGGACGCTTAACCAACTGCGCCACCCAGGCGCCCCTATTTTAGTCTCTTTCTTGAAAGACAGTCTTTTCTGGCATGATTGCAAGTGACAGTTTTTTGTTCTTAGTTAGCCCTTTGATGCTACCATTCGCTTTGTGCCTTCTTGCTGTTAGATAGTCACCTGTCTGTCTAATCATTGTGCACACGTAGGTGATCTTTTCTCTCTGGGTGTTTTCAATGGTTTCTCTTTGTCTTTGGCATTCTGTAATATCACAGGGCTGCACTGTGTAGATGCTTGGGCTTCCTGAATCTGTGATTAGTGCCTTTCATCAATTCTAAAATAGTCTAGCCATTATTTGTTTGAAACTTGGCTTGCTCCTGGTCACTCTTTTATTTCTTCTGGATCTCTGATTAGATTTACATTGCATCTTCTCATCCATCCTTTGTAACATCAATTTATCTTTCTTGTTTTCCACCTCTTTGGTGTTTTGGACTATATTCTAGGTAATTTTCTCGTATCCCCTTTTAGTCCATTAATACCCTCTTCAGCTAATCTCTTGTATAAACTATCCATTGGCTTTTCAATTTAACTTCCTATTTCAATAAATTTCAATGACTTTTCATTTCAGATATATCAGATCAGCTTTAATAAGTTTTTCCTTCTTCCTATTATTGGTTCACACTGTTTCCTTTAAACATGTCAAATGCATGTTTGATCTAAATATATGATATATTCTGATAATATATATCAGGAATATCACATATTCTTTCCAAATCATATACGTATTATGAGATCTATCCGATAATTCTGGTATCTGTTGTTTCTTTCACTTAATTATGCAGAATATACTTATAATTCTTTTTAAGTTTATTCATTTTCAGAGAGTACATGTGCACACAGGCAAGCAGGGAAGGGTCAGAGAGAGACAGAGAGAGAATCCCAAGCAGGCTCGTGCTGCCAGAGTGCAGCCCGCCCCAGGGCTCTATGCCATGAACCGTGAGATCATGACCTGAGCTAAAATCAAGAGGTGGACATTTGACCGACTAAACCACTCAGGTGTTCCCGTAGAACATTTTTTTAAAACTGACTTTGGCTAATAAATTGCCCTTATGTATTCAGTGAAGTTTTATTTTGAGCTCATTTATCTTTTGGAACTTGATGTAAATCTTTGTTTAAAATACTTTCCTGGGATTAGACCATGGCATTATGGCTACAGACAATAAGCCTAAACATTTCTGGAGATGCATAGTGAAATATGTTTGGGATGTGTAGGATTTGATTTAAACCACTTCAGGAAGGAGAGGAGGGAATAGAAGAAGCAAGGAAGTATATCTGGCAAAATCTTGAGAACTGCTGCACCCGTGTGGTATATGAAAGTTCATTGTACTACTATCTTTAGGTTTGCAAGTATTTTTTATTACAAATTAATTAAATAGGTATATCACTCAAAAAGAAATTTCTATTCACTTCTGCTGCTCTCTGAAGTCACTACCATTCTGGAGCCATTTTAGACTCAATTTTCTACCTGGGCTCCTTTTGGGAGGTCCACAGAGGTAGTGTCAGTTCAGACCCCAGCCCTCGTGAGTGGAAACTTACGGTTCGAGAATCCCAGGGGGAGACTTTTCTCGTTGTTATCCTTGTTGCTCCATCTAAAGCCATGGGCCAAGATAAACACATATCCTCAAGGTCACCCTCTATGAGCTTTCTTCTTTTAAGGTGATCCACTGAAAGGATCCCTTCTGAAGATCTTGGTAGTCTGTAGGTTTTTGATAGGATCTCCTACCCTGCTTGGACCCCAACTTTGTCTCTTGCCATGGTACACGTGGCTCATTTTAACTCAGGCTTTAGGCCATCAAAGACTGGCAGATATTGGCAAATATGACAAGTGACCAGGGCTCACTTGGTCCTAGGGATTCCAGCTTATTTTTCACAGCTCCTTTAGTGTGTTTCTAAGGAACTCCCTTAGTGACTTCCAGGGTAGCTGTGTGTGTGTGTGTGTGTGCGCGCGCGCACGCACGCGCGCGCGCTCGCACGCATGTGCTCACACATGCGTAATCCAGTATTTTCAGGTGCATTACCAGGATGACACCTGTACTGCTCCATATTTCTATGGAGCATTTTCATATGTATCATTTGGTTAAAAGCCATTGCCTAAAGCACTCATCACTTCTTTACTTTATAGATGGAACAAAAGTTGAGAAAATTTGTGACTTGTCCAGGGTGACACAGATACACATATCACATATCATTTGTTCTATAGTATACATTATATACTACATATTGTATATTACTTACAACAGTAAATAATACCTCCATTTTCCCTAAAGTCAAATGACCAACTGTTCCCTAGATTCTATAAACAAACCTCTGAGAGTTCAATGCAAAGGGATAAGATTTCTGGAAAAAATTCTAAATCAGAGTGTGCGGAACTGAGGCTAGTCATTAATTCGGCAGGTAATCTGTTGGTGCTGCAGAGAATTTTTAATGTTTTACCTCAAATAACGATATATACTGTTTTTACTCTACACAAAAGATGGCTTTGTTAATACTAGTCACTGTGACAGAGTTTTTCTTTTTTCTAATTAATTATTTTTAAATAATTTTTAAGGTGCCAAATTAACTGGGTACATGAAGACACTTTTCAATACCAGCATCAGTTGAACACAATTGTATTGACTGGAAATCCCCTGATATTCATGGCAGAAACAGCATTTAATGGGCCCAAATCGCTGAAGCATCTTTCCTTAATCCAAACAGGAATATCCAATCTCGAGTTTATCCCAGTGTATAATCTGGAACAGTTGGAAAGTTTGCATCTTGGAAGCAACCATATTTCCTCCATTAAGTTCCCAGAGAACTTCCCAACACAGAATTTGAAAGTCCTGGATTTTCAGAATAACGCTATATACTATATCTCGAGTGAAGACATGAATGCTCTGGAGAAGGCCACCAACCTAAGCCTTAATTTCAACGGCAATGACATTAAAGCCATTGAGCCTGGAGCTTTCCATTCAAAAAGCTTCCAAAGTTTGAAATTTGGAGGGATTCTTAACTTGTCTGTTATATTAAAAGGTCTACAGAACTCCACTACTCAATCTCTCTGGCTGGGGACATTCGAAGACTCTGATGACCAAGACCTTACTCCAGCCATGTTTGAGGGACTTTGTGAAATGTCTGTGGAAAGCATCAATCTACAGAAGCACCATTTCTCTAATATCTCATCTACCACATTTCGCTGCTTCACTCAACTTAAGGAATTGGATCTGACGGCAACTCACCTGAAATCATTGCCCTCCGGGATTGAGGGTATGAATGCTCTCAAGAAATTAGTTCTCAATGTAAATAATTTTGACCAATTGTGTCAGATCAATGCTGCCAGTTTTCCATCCCTCACAGACCTCTCTATCAAAGGCAACATGAAAACACTTGACTTCGGTGCTGGGTGTTTGGAAAAACTAGAAAATCTTCAGAAACTTGATTTAAGCCACAATGATATAGAAGCTTCCGACTGCTGCAATCTGCAACTCAAAAACCTGCCCCACTTACAATACCTAAACCTGAGCTACAATGAGCCCCTTGGTCTTCAGAGTCAGGCATTCAAAGAATGTCCTCAGTTAGAACATCTAGATTTGGCATTTACCCACTTGCGCATTAAGGCTCCACAAAGTCCTTTCCAAAACCTCCGTCTCCTACAGGTTCTGAATCTTTCTCACTGTCTCCTGGATACCAGCAATCAGCACCTTCTAGCAGGCCTGGTGGATCTCCGCCATCTAAATTTACAGGGGAATCACTTTCAAGATAGGCGCATCTCAAAGACCAACCTACTTCAGCCCTTGAACAGCTTGGAGATTCTTAGTTTATCCTCCTGTGACCTCCTTTCCATAGACAAGCAAGCATTCCAGAGCCTTGGAAAAATGAGTCACATAGACTTAAGCTACAACAGCCTGACGGGCGATAGCATCGAAGCTCTTAGCCATCTTCAGGGGATCTACCTCAATCTGGCCGTCAACAGCATCCACGCCATCCCACCTCTTCTCCTCCACACCCTGTCCCAGCAGAACACCATTAACTTAAGCCACAATCCCCTGGACTGCACTTGTTCGAACATACATTTTATAACATGGTACAAAGAAAACCTGCAGAAAATTGAGGGTGTGGAGGAAACCATGTGTGCAAACCCTCCATCTTTAAGGGGAGTTAAACTGTATGATGTCGAACTGTCCTGTGGGATTACAGCTGTGGGCATTTTCTTTCTTATAGTATTTTTACTCTTCATTGCCATTCTGCTTGTTTTTTCAGTTAAATTCCTCCTCAGGTGGAAATATGAGCACATTTAGTGCTGAAGCTTTCTGGAGATGGCAAATGAATGTGTTTAGGGAAACTGCCCCCAGTAAAGGAACTGTTGTCTGTTGTTGGCTGTCAGAATTTTCAGATTGGTTCCTGCAGCTGGACAGGACTTGCTGTGCTTTTCTGAGTCCCAGAGCTAATGAACCTTCCTGGAATGTAAACTGACTAGGACCAGGGGACCAAACAACAGCTGTGAGAGACACAGAGCCATTTGCTCACATGAAAGGTGGTTGGAGGACCCGTGGCAGGGAAAGGCCAGGAGAGGAATGTTCGAGGAGGTGATCTTCCTTCCACTCGTGGACACTTCCCGAAGCAGCGCCTACCCTGACCCTAAAAGGAGACCAACAACTTGGGGGCACTGGTGACCCCAGTCCAAACTCTGTCTCCTGTGGCTTGGGCATCGTGCTTGGCTCTGAGTCCTCAATAAGACAGTCATTTCAGAAACTTGTTGAGGATAAAGTCTCAATGCTTTTTTTTTTTTTTAATGAAAAAGGGAATACACAAGGGAATTTAAAAGAAGAGGCTGAGAAATGAATCGTGACATCAAATCAACTTCATTTATCTCCTTAATTCTAAGTCTCTAAGGTCTCTACAATTCCACTAGGGTGTAAATAGGTACAAAAAAACAAAACAAAACAAAACAAAACAACACAAAACAGAAAAACCAAAAAGCAAAAACCACCCCACCAGTTCCCCAACCCCCAATCTAGGATTTTTGCTACAATGGCCACTCTCACTTCAGAACCACGGAAGTTTCCTACCGATCTTGTGTGCTTGGTCTTATATTACAAATCCTACCTTACACATGGCTGTGGCCCAAATGCTCTTCTCATTTGAATGTCTGGTCCTTAGAAGCTTTTTTCCCACAGGAACTATGAGATAAATGGTGGTTTGGTTCCCAGGGCATCTCTCAAAAGTCTATTCACCTGGGATAGCAATCGAGCTAGTGCATTTGCAATGAAAACCAGTGGAAGAAAGCATCACTGTGCTCTCGCTGTCCACAACACAATACTCTGGCTCAGTGAGTTTCTGTTGAGTCTGGGGGTGTCAGCAATGATTGTACCAGTGGAAAAGATTAGACAGGACCATTGAATGTAGAGAGAGAGAGAGAGAAAGGACAGAGAAGCGGAAAGTGTTAGGATTTAGGCCTTGCAAGACCCAAAGGGTCCACTCCTATAAGGCTTGATTTTCTGTGGTCTGGAATGGTGGACAAGAGCTGAAATCTCTTGTATTCAGGGTGTTGCATTCATAGGACCTTAAGTTCTGTAACAAATTTTAGACTAGAGGTGGTAACTCAAGTTATGAAAATCTGATTGGAATATCAAAATAAAATTAACTTTCATATCCAATCAGAATTTATTAGCCCTTATGTTGGGGGTCTAACAGTGGGACATACAAACAGAGTGGAAACTTGGGAACCAACCTCTCTTTACTGCTATATCCCCCAAGAATGGCAAAAAAGACAGGAAATAGTGAAGAAATGCCATAAACCTCTCCTGCAGTTGCTCTGCTTGTCTTGTAGCCTTGGGGGATTTTTTTGGGGTAGTACTAGGTGGGAGGCCAAGTTTTCCCAGAAAATCTTGGTTAACAACACATGGTAAAGGGACAGAGGTGCTTGCCTTGGGCATAGAATCTAAGGGGGAACCAAAAAACCTCAGTAATCAAGACAAAAATAATTTAATGCAATATTTAAAAACTTTTGATTAATGAAAAAAATATGTAATAAAACAACAAAATTTTTAAAAACGGCATCCAAAATAGTCCCATGCTGAACCATGTTAGGGCCTGAGGCAAAAGGAAAAATCATTAATACCGATCCTGCCTCTGTTTAAAATTTTGGTATTTTGTTCATGGTTGATATTTTGCATTAGTCTTTTTAAATTTAATATTGCATTAAAATATTATCTTCATTACTGATTTCTTTGGTGTACCCTTAAATTTAGCCCCAAAGGTGGGTGTCTCACTGTCTCACCCTATTCCCACTGTGAGAAATACTAAGAAGGAGGTACCCCAGTTAACTCCCAGGCCACACTTTACCCAGGGCCTATTAGCAGGCATATTATCTCAAAGTTATTCTGAAGGGTCTTTCCCTTCCCCCTTACTTTCTGGAAGCAGGTCAAAGTGTCCGAGAGCTTACACCTTCTTCACCTTCTTTCGCATCCTCAGGTAACTCCCAACTCAAAGGCATCCTTTCTTCAAAGTGGAGAGAGGTAGCAGAGATGAAAGGGTACTATATCCCCTTGAGCTCTAGGTGGCCTGGGGACCTGGTGAGTGGGCACAGGCAGAGCACCACTCTGCTAATGCAATGAAACAGCACACAATTAGCTGCTTTAATTACCTTGAGTATCAGTGTTTGGGAAAACAGGTGCCTGAAAAGGAAGTTTTCCTCAGCTTTCCTGAGGGAGCCCTGGAGAGGCAGTCACTTAAAGATGTGTGTGGAAGAAGTAAGTACTAGAAATACGAGGAATGGGGACACACCCATCATCCCCCTTTCTTCCTTCCCTGGCCCTAAGGAGGGTGGAACAACATTCCGAGAAGCCCAGTTTGAGCCACTGCTGTATTGGTATTGGCCTTGAGTCTGGCAATGAGCGAGACTTTTTTCATTGAGTTTTGGGCTCAGAAGGGACCTAAGGCAGAAGTGGGCATGGCTGCCTTGGCCAGCCTCTGTCAGTGTGTGGAACAGGCAGCTTCCTAACTGGTGCTACACCAAAGACCCCTCTTTCTAGGGACATGAAGGCAGTGTTAGTTTATAAGTTCAGGCAGCCAACCCTCCCGAGTCAAGAGAGAGAGCATCCTTGCCAACTACACCACCCCATGCTGCCCACTCTTGTGCAAGAGCCATTCACCTTTGAGGATTCAGGCAGGAAGGTAGCAGGACACATAGTTCATCTGTTTTGTTGATTTCATTAATTTGCTTGTACCAAATTAACGGATCAGCTCTGGAAACTCTGGGAACTATTCCTGGTAGTGACCACAAAGATGCTCACTGTTTCCTCCTTCTCTGCCTTTTCTCTTTATTTCTCTTTCCTTTTTCTTTGCTGTTTCTTCCCTTCTCTCCTTTTCTCCTTCTCTCTCTGTGCTTCCCTCCTTCTCTACTGGTTTCATGCTTTCCTTCCTTCTTTCATCCATATCAGACAGGATGGAACTCAACACTCTATGAATCCAGTCTAAGACAGAACCAGAATGCACTGAGTTCCCCCGCATTCTAGCAAATTTAAGCTCTTTCTTGACTGCAGGATTTAAGCTGTAGAGACGATACACTAATCGCCGTCTTACCACTCTATAGCCACATGGTTCTCCGTAATGATTAATGTGTTAAAACAGAAACAAAAGTATTCTGTGGAATATCTGTGATGCAGATTGCATCACATGATAGATGGGAGGGTCCTAAGCCCTAGCAAAATGTAATTGCCCATCTTGCTTTCATTTATCAGGGGTGTGCCCCTTCCCTGTAATGCAACTTGCTATTCTGTAACTGCACACTGATCTAAGGCTTTGTGACAGCTCCTCTGTTTTAAGCAACAGTAAATTCACCCTACAAAGTCAGAAAGGCAGCTTTTTGATAGCTGCTGTCAATTTTATTGCTTTATCCTGGTTACTAGGATAGAATCTGTAGACATGGTGTGTTTATTGGTTTTATGTATCGTATGTTGTTACTGCTCTGACAAGCTATTCCTATAAAAATGTGTTATTATTGCATGTTGTAGCTCAGTGAGCTGACCCTGCATTTCAAAGTGTACTGAAGCAAATAGCATTGAAGTCCATAAAAGTTGACTGGCCTCCATCACAGAGGACTCTCTGCGTGAGCTGCAATTCCCACAATCTGATAGCAAATTATACCTTTCCCCAGAGCCAGCAGCCATCACTGCTAACTGAACACAGCACAGACACAAACACAGGCATGATCAGTAAAATTTCAAGACAGGAAGCTGTCATACCATTCCTACTTGTCCAATTCCTCAAGAAGTGTCATTTGTAATTTTGAAGTTTACAAAAGTATGAAATAAATGGCTTTTCAATGTTTTTGTGTAATATTATAAGATGCAAGAGGGGTGGTTGACCTTGTTTCTATCTCTCTTGAATGCTAAAGAAAAAATTAACTCGAGTTATGGCAAGAAAGAAGGGATTGGTTCTAAGCAAGTCACAAGTGGGGAACCTGAGTATTTCACTAGAATCAGTTGCCTGGAATATTAAGAGTTAGAATGTCTGATAGGGGGTGGGGGAGTAAGCTTGAAGGCTACAGAAGAATGGGACAGGCAGGTGTGGCTCCTAGATACTGGTTTATCACCAGAAACATCTGGGCATTCATTACCAAACAGATTCCTCTACCCGCCCCCCTGCCCCATCCCCAGATATTGGAATTTGGTTAGACTGGGGTTGGCACTGGATTCTACACCAAATGATTTCATGCAAAATATACTTCCTTAAACTTAGTGTTATCAACCAATGGCAGAGTCATATATAAGGCTCCATGCACCAAATGAGTTGAAGAACTGCTCCATTTTCTATAAGAGGAAATTTTGTAACAAAATGGGAATAAGGGGCTAAGAAGCCTTCAAATCCAGGGGTGAGACATCCCGGGCAGAAAGCCTGTTAGTCTCTTGCCACAACTTCCAGGCCACAAGATTCTGCTGCTAACCTCCCCTGCTCTCCCACCTATGCCCTGTCCCCAACTCCCATTCCATCCCATTACTTATGATATGAAATCATTTACTGGATAATGCGTATCTTAAAAAAGGAAAGAACTAATCTACACAGACTATTTTTAAAAGCCATTATGAAAGACTGTTCATGAAAGATTAAACAGTGAACTTCATTGAACTTCCTCCTCTCATCCCCCCAAATTTTGATAATATCCTCTAAGCGTTTGACTGTTCAAGACAAGGTATTAGAGCCACAAAGGTAAGAACACAGGTGGCCATTGGTGTAGCCATCTGTCTACTCTTTCTCCCTTCATGTTCTTTCATGGGCTTTATAAACAGGTTGGGTCTCCCTTTTTCTCTTTTTCTGGTCTTTGGAAACAATCTAAATAGCCAACAATAGACACATGACCAAATAAATTAGGGGATGATCTAAACAAATGCAGAGATATTCTATATTCTTGGGTGGGATAACAATATTAGAAACCTGTTGGTGTCACTAGGAAATCAAGAAATAGAACTTAAAATGAGATAAAGGTTTCGATCTGTTAGTCTGGCAAAAAAGGAAGAGCTGGATAAAAGCACCGGTGGGATGTGGGGTTGTAGGAACTGCATGCATGGCTTACAGACATAGACTAGTGTAGCCATTCTAGGACCCTCTGACAACAATTAGTCCAATTAAGTATGTGGCCCGTGAATTCTGCTAGGGTATATTTCCCAAGAAAATTTCACATCTCCACAATGATATTTAGTGCAACATTATTTATGGAGGGGGAAGTTCAAAGCAGTTTGAGTGTTTATCACTAGGAAAATGGGTAGATAAGTGTAGAAGATGCCCACCATGGGTATGATACAGTAGTCACAAGCAATGGATTAGATACAGCTATGGCAATGTACTTGAATCTTAAACATACAGTGTTGGAGGAGGTCATCAAGAGGACAGGACTACTGGTTGACACATGAGCAGGATCTGGGCAAGCAGAGGCTCCTCATGCCCTCCCCTGTCCTTGGAATGTACACTCTACGTGGCCCCCCCCCCCCCTTCCCACAGTGGGAGCTGGTTTCTAGAAGCAGCCTTAAGAAAGCAACATTCTGTTGATCTGGATGGTACAAGTGACTGAAGCCAGTTATGGCCTCTATATATAAACTGTTAAGATTCTAGCACATGGTTGTAGTGATCTACTTGTCTTGGGGCCACCCAAGGCAAGCATCATATGTAAGTTTCCTTGCTTATTAAACCTGCCACCTACCAATCTGGAGTGGTCTGCCACTGTCTTCGGTCTCTCCTCCCCCTTCAGGTACAGGGGCCAGTTTGTGGGCCAAGAGAGAGAGCTTGATGGGGAAAAAAAACAACCCAAAATGACATATTAACATAGCTTTTATAAATTAAAAATACACGCATACAAAACAATATACCAGTATTTTCTAAGAACACAAAAAGATAAACCATGAATTAACATGGCTGCCTAGAGGGTGGGAGGGGGGATAAAAGGAAGTGTGGGGATAAATTAAATGAACTCAGGCATAAGCCAGCTGAGAATTGGTGGGACGACCCAATCGTCTGCATCAGAGGCTCTCGGCTATCTATGCACGTGCACGTGAATGAAAGCAATATAGCACACCCATAAAGTGAAATGCCATGTAGCCATTATGAACAATATTGCACAGTATATTTATAGACATTGAAATGTATTTGTGATTCAATACTAAACAGAAGAGGTCAGCAAACCTCACCTCCACTACTATTTCAGGTTTTTGAAAAAATTAAAAACCTATATAAATTGAAGAATGATGAGCGGCTGGTTGGATGGCAGGGATTCATTTTTCTTCTCTTCTGTATTTCTAATTTGCCTTCAATGACCATGTTATGCAATGAGTTTTGCTGTTTTTTAAGACTTTTTTGCTTTTTCACAAAGGTGCAAGAAGAATAAAGAGGTCACTGGATGTGAGAATTTACAGATAGCAAAAAAGGAGGCAATCTTTTTCTAAAGCTTTGTGTTTTTTTTTTATTTTATTAAAATAATTTTTTAGGGGTGCCCGGGTGGCTCAGTTGGTTGGGTGTCCAACTTTGGGTCAGGTCTTGATCTCACGGTCTGTGAGTTTGAGCCCCGCACGGGGCTCTGTGCTGACAGCTTGGGGCCTGGAGCCTGCTTCGGATTCTGTGTCTTCCTCTTTCTTTGCCCTGTCTCATTCTCTCAAAAATAAATGTTAAAAAAAAATTTTAAGTATACATTTTTTAATTTATCCATTTTGAGAGAGAGAGAGAGAGAGAGAGAGAGAGATTGATTGATTGGGAAAGCCAGCAGGTGAGGGGCAGAGAGAAAGGCAAAAAGAGACTCCCAAGCAGGCTATATGCTGCAGTGCAGTTCGAGCTTATCAACTGGGAGATCATGACAAGAGCTGAAACCATGAATCAGGACGCTTAACCACTGATCCACCCAGGTGCCCCAAGGCTTTGCGTTTTTAAATCCAAACGGTCAAGCCCAAGCTTCACCAGTTGCTCTTTTTCTTTGAGGTCAGACAGCCGTGCTTGTTCTAAGGATGTCCATGTGAACAGAGCAGCAGGCCGAGGAGCTGGGACTTGCACTACAGGGACAGCATCACACGGATGGATGTGGATGGGCACCTAGTCCCAAAAAGTAGAAATCTGTCTCCAGCCTGGGAAAGTCACTTCGGCACAGCACTGTGTAACACAGCGCGTGTATTCCAAAGGGGCCGAATTTTCAGGCAAAGGATTTTTCTGGAGACAGGTTAGAGCTGGAGGATATGGTGATGCCAGCCTGACATATGAAGACGCAGTAAATGCAACATGCTTGCTTCAGGCATCGTAAGCATCTTCATTCTTCACCTCCTGGCTACTGACAGCCATCTCTGGGCAGTGCGTAATGTAACAGCAGATGAGTATTTGTGAGAGGCTTTCAGCTTTACAATGTTACCAGACTTTCTGTAAAGCGGTATGGGGCAGTACCTAGTAATCATATACAACATATCTTTCTTTTCTCTGTGTCTGAACAGACTTGCCTGGCAGGTCACCAAATACATAGAGAACGACAGATTTGGGAGCAGGTTCCCTTTTTGACGTGCTTGCCTGCATCCACGTGTTGGGACAGAGTCCTGCGGCCAGCCTGTGACAAGAGATGGCCATCTTGTCTTTTGGAACACACATCCCAGAAGTCAGTAGGAGGATGCTGCTTTTCTGTGAGGATTGCTGCTAAGATTCCCGTCCCGGGTCCAAGGAGTCGGAACTGTCAGAGAACTTGAACCTGAGCCAGACTGACTGACTTTCCATATGCAGAAAGTCATGAAACTGACTTTCAACAGCACATTTTGGGCATTTCTAGCTTTTGTAGATACAGAAGATGTAATATTCACTGGGGTAGAGGTAGAAGACAGGAGGAACACAAATGATCACTTTGAGCCATGAGTTCAAACCACACCGATAGACGGGTAAATAGATTTAGAGTGTTGCCTGACCAATGAGTTCCTTAAGGCCTGTCCAATACCAGAGGAAGCAAATTTCTATAGTTAATAAAGCTGCACTTTTTCATGTTACATTTGTGTTATGAATCCCCAGATGCTAGATGGAAAATTGCCTGCTGATTAATTAGAATTAATAAAGGAGCCCTACTACAGAGAATAATTAGCTTCCTTGGCTCGTGGTTTCCCACCGACCACCAAACGTGTAATTTTGCACCATATGATTTTTCTGCATGTAAAGAAAGAGACAATGAGATGGCTTAGATCATTCACAGAGGAGCCTAGATCTGAATTCAATTACATGACACCTGGTAATGTTTAGAAAGGTCAAGAGCTTTGGAGCCAGAAAAAATCTGGATTCTAATCCAAATTCTCTTTACAGGGTGTATATTAAACAAACAGCAGAGCCTGTCTGGGCCTGCTTCCTCATCTGTGAAATGGGGATGCCACTTTCATCTGGTTTGGGGCTCAAATGAGAAGGTAGATGAAAAGCATCTTGCCCAGCACTATGCACATATTTATATATATAAGGCAGAAAATAAATGTTAGGCTGCTTCTTTCTTTTCTGCCAGTTTCGGTGATTTTTGATGACGAGAAAACACACAGGAAAGGAGGAAATGCAAGATGAAAGGGCACAGTGGTAACTGATTGGTAACTGATGGAGGAAGGTAATAGGAGATAACAGGGGAATTGAAGGAGACGGTGTCACTGAGGAAGAGACAGTAAAAAAGATAGCGACCTTGGTGTGGAAGCTGGTAACTTCTGCGGCCAAGGAATAAGGTTGGTACAAAACGTAGGAAGGCATTATAGGGAGGCTTAATCTTCAAGAATAGAACATGTTTGTGTAAGCTAAAAAAAAAAAAAAAAAAAAAAAAGCAAACCAGTCCAATTAACAAAAAGCAACCTGCAAAAAACCCATGCTTCCCATAATACACAGTAATATTCAGTAACACTTTAGAGATGTATGTGTAGATGCAAGAAAAACATCAGTCATTATCTTTTCATGCTAAATTTTTATTTCAATGTTATGCAACTGCATAAGTATAAATATTTGTTCAATATACAACAATTATGACATCCATAGGGAATTTCTTAGAGAAAATAAGACTGCAAACACTTTATTGCACAGATCCTAACAAACTTTTAAGCTGGTAAATCTACAGCTGGGAGTACTACCAAGGAGCACATCTTACAATCACAGGAGACTGACCGAATAGAACACAGGAGAATTTCTACCAGCTGATTGGAGAGGTTTACAACAACAGACAGGTATTACATGAATGCAACCTTAAGTACTCTTTACCCATCCAAAATGCAAAAACATATTTGGCCAAAATGATAATACACTATACAAAATATACATAAAAATATCATTTGTAAACAGGCAGCTAGTTGTGCTTTAAAGGAAACTGGACAGTTAAAAAGCAAAGGCTGTAAACCATGAACTCCCTCCCCGACACACCTGTCGTGATGTCTGAGTACAGATGATTGGGTTGTGACAACTGCCAAACACAGATATGAATTATAAATGTTGAGACCACTTTGGAAACCCATTTAAGTTCTTCTAAAATATGCGTTTCTTCTACCATTTCACAACGTAGTGATGGGGAATGGCTAAAACTACACGGGGGCAGGGGGGGCGGAAAACAGGGGTAGGGGGGGACTTTTTCTGTTTGCCAACTCATTTTACAAGGAAGGACAACCCAGCAGTCAGTTAAGTGATGCCTTTGTTTTTGGAGCAGGGTTTACAGCCCTGCTAAATAATTTACAATCCGCAGGCTGTGCTTTAGATGAATGATTTAGATACTAAGACATCCGAGGGGGTTTGGGTGCCAAATTTGTATTTATTGGTAATTGTTTTCCCTCTTGAAAAACAAAACAGAAAATCCTGCTATGGATCCCAAACATCTTATAAATACTTATCTGTGTGTATTTTCTCTTAGTGCCTTAGTACTTAGGTCAGCAAGTGCCGTCTTACAATACAAAACAAGCCTCCAGGACAACTGCAACAAAAACAAACAAAAACCCCCTCAACACTAAAATGATTTGACGAAGTCTACATCTTCCATGGTATACAAAATTTAAATAAGGCTTAGCAAAAGTAAAAAGGACAGTCACATTCAAGCACCAAATAGCTCCACCAAGTCTTTTTGTTAAAAAACGCTGCTCTTTATTAATACGGTTTTTTTTTTTTTTTTTTGCATACAAATAAAGAGATCATGTTATGAAATGTATGGAGCTACTCGATGCATCAGAAATGAATGTGAAACCCAGGAACTTGCTAAAAACAGCAAGCTTCATCTACAACATAAGGCCCCAGCTATGTATTAAAATGTATCTGATGTCCTGATTATTCATTAATATATATGCTATGATGCCAAAATCCACCCCCCCTTTCCCTCAAAAATGCAAATTTAAAACCTCTTCCAATGCCTGATGCTTATTACTCAACTTAAGTACTACTGGATCTGCGTGTGGCCAGTAATTTTCCTTTTTGTTCAAGAGCAGGGCTGGCACAAGACTACTACGAAATGTGTGCTTCTCGGACTAGTGACTCATAGGATCAAGGCCTGAGTTTAAGAGCATGAAAAGAAGGGAAAGCGAGAGAAACAAAGCTGACGTGTGTTTATAGCCTCCACTACACCCAGGGTGAAGACCCGACATATATACCCAGAGACAAGGATAACTGGCCTTTCAGACAGTTGGACCCAAGATCAAGCGTCCACCGCGATGACCGTAACATGAATATGGTTAGCTCTGCTTGTTCCGGCCATTCCTAAGGGAGGAAGAGTCCAAATGCAGTGACTAGAGTAGTTCTTGCTTTAAGATCTGGAAATCTAGGTAGGCAGATACAGTACTCTCAAAATCTTGGGTTAAAAAGACACGCACAAACTCACCATCTACTGTATTTAGGGCTTTCTTTCATCTTGAACTCTACTCAGAATGTTTTAACTTAGAAAAATGTAGTCTTGAAATATTCTCTGAAACCAGAGACCAAAACATGTGGGTGGATGTGTATATACACACGAGTGTATCTATACTCTTACATACACCCGGTTTTAACCATTTTGCTTCATTACTACGTGATGATAAGCGGTAAAGCAAAAATCCTACTGGAAAAAAAAAAAGAAAAGAGAAGAAAAGAAAAAGCTGTGGTAAACAACGCCATCAGCAGCAAGGTATCACTCTACATCCCAAACCAAACACATTGCTAGGTATTTACAGAGAAAATCTTTATCCTCAACAACCTTCCACTGTAAAGGTGTTTCTTTATTGTTGTTGTTTTCGTTTTTCGTACAAACCCTCTCTGGTAACAGTGTCATGGGTTACAATTGGGAAGGCAATTGGAAGAAGGTCCCCTCTTTCTGTCTCTCTCTCCCTCTCCCCCTCTGCCTAGGGGCTCCAGGCTCTGCCCGGCGGGCGTTCCCACACAGTGCTGGCTTCACAAGGTAGTCAAGACTCAGGTACACATTCAGGTCGGGTCTCCCCAGTCGGGCCTGGGGCCTGCCCCGTTACGAGGCCTTTTTGTGCGGGCTGCTACGCAAACTCTCTTTCCCCCGCCTCTGCCGCACCACAAAGTCCTTCTCAGAAGAAAGGGCGATGGGCCGGTCAGGGTTTGGAGCTGGGGATGCCTTGGTCACTTCTCTGCCCACGCTCTGTTTCCTAGTCTGAGAGGGCGGGGCTGCGACAGGCTCTTTGCCTTTGGTTTCTCCTGTGGTGGCAGATACCGACAGGGCCCTGTCCCGGAGGCCGGCTCCCCCTGCCACGGGCGGGCTGGGGTGGTGCAATTCCAGGGTGACGGTGGAGCTCCGAAAGGATGGCAGAGAGTCGCTCTTTGTCATGTGGGTTCTGCCGTCGCCCCCGGGCAGGGTCTTAGCCGCAGCCCCGCTGGCCTTGGCCAAAGATGTGTCACCGCTAGTTGCAGCAGCCTCTCGAGCCCCCGGTCTGGCCTCAGGAAAGCTGGAGGAGGAGCTCAGAGACTTTTCTGGGAGGGCAGTGGATCGAAAAGAACTCTGTCCGGTGGCCGAGGGCGACCGTTTCATGCCGCTGGGCTTGCCTGCCTCAGTCAGCGGCTTCTGGGGACTCAGCACTTTCCCCTTGGCCTCTGGCAAGCCTTTCCCCACAGCAGCTGCTGGCCTCTCTGGGCCTTTTGGCCGGGCCTCGCCGGGTGCCAGGGAAAGGCTGGCCTCAAGCTTCCCGCCGTCTGCTGGAACGTAAAGTGCTTCAGTGCATTTCTTCCCCTCAGACTTCCTGTCCGTGGCGGTGGCAGCCTGTGAACTTGGACTCCTGTCTGTCTGTCTGCACACAGCGGGGCACTCTTTCACAGTGGATGGTTTGGGGTGCTTTGGAGACACGTTTTGCTTTTCATTGACAGGGGCAACTTTCTGGTCCGCCGATTCACCCCCTCCTGGGTGTCCTTGCTGCGGCAGATGCGTGGGCTTCTCTGGTGCCTCCGGGGACCGCCTGCCACCGGTGGCTTTTAGCTTAGGGTCTAGAGGACCCCCTTCGGTGAGCAGCGGAACTGAGGGTCCACTTCCTCCCTGGCTAATCGCATTGGTGGCTGTGTTCTGGGAGCCTGGGAGGGCAGGGAAGGCCTCCGGCACACCCTTACTGCTGTCCTTCCCTTCTCGGCTGGGGCCGACCTGCGGCTGGGCTGCAGCCTCTCTACCTGCTGCAGGCCCAACGCTTGGCTTCTGGGAGGAGAGGGCCCTGTCAGGGTGCTTAGACTTTGCGGGGATGGAGTCGGGGCCAGGCCCAGACTTGGGGCTGCTGCTTTCACCATGCACTGCAGCGGGCCTGGGAGGGCCCTGGAGGCCCAGGCTGGGCTCTGTAGTACAGGGCTTGCCCCCCGGCTCTCTGCCTGAGGAGTGGCTTGGGGAGCCGCAGTGCTGCTGAGTGGCCAGGCTGGGCAGTTCTTTGGTGACCAGCGGGGGCTGAGAGCTACTGCTGACGTGCTTTTGTAGAGGCTGTTCTTTCCTTTCTGGTTCCTTGGGACTGTCTTTCGGCAAGGATGGGAAAGCAGAGAGCTGGGCTTCCTTCCCACGTTCAGTACCTGGTGGCTGCAGGGACCACCGGCTGGGAGGAGCTTCTGGCTGGGGTTCCGGGCCACCTCGTCCTCTGCCCGGCTCCCTCTCACGAGGAGTCCCTGCTGACTGCAAAGAGGAGTCCTCCCTCGCCAGGGGCCTCACCTCATCTCGGCCATCTCTGTGGTTTGTTTTCCCACAAGGTGCCCATGCTTTCTCCAGGGCTTGGGTCTGAGTGCAGGAATCTGGACGGGTCCTTTCCCCGGAGGAGAGATTTCTGGAATTGTCACTGGTTTTAGCAGCTTCTGGAGGATACAACTCCACAGAGGGATCCCTGTGGGAGTCAGGTCTCACAGCGGACCGCTCGCTTCTGGCCGTGGAAGGGCCCCTTTCAGAGGATTCCCTCCCACTTGGCTTCTCTCTTGAGGCGGTACCTTCAGGCAGCAGCAGGCTGCGTGACCTGGATGGGTCCGCGCTGTGGGGGTTCAATCCCAGGGAGGGGAGGAGTTTGGTGTCAGGGCTATGGTTTTGGTGTTTGCTGGGGCCCCCCTCTCTCCGCTGGGGATCACTTTCCATGACCGTCACTGTGCTCTTGGCTGCATGGGAAGCTTTCCTATCCCGCTTTAGCTCTGGGTCAGAGCAAGGCACGGGAGCTGCTGGTGAATTCTGGAGACCCCGGCTGGGGGGTGGGAACCGGGGCTCCAGCAGGTAGGACTTATTAATCCTGAAGCCAGCAGGGGAAGGCTCCCTCTGACCCGCCGTCTCACCCTTCTTGCCCCCGGTGCTGGGGAGAGCCGGTGGCACAGAGGGCCTCACATCACTGGCCGGGCTGGGGCTCTGTGCAGGCTCCGGGGAAGGCAGCTCTGTCTTGGAGGCCTGAGGTCCAGACAGGAGAGCAATATCCAAAGTGCCCTCAATTGGTTTCAGGCAGGACACAGACCTACCTTCCAGTTTATACTCAGAAGGGCTTTTCCGGACGGGTGACTCAGGAGCAACCAAGCCCGGCTTCTCTACTCCACCGTCCACCCGCCCAGCTAGCGCCTTGAGAGGGACAAAGGAGACAGTGCTGATCTGAGCCGTGTGGGCACTGCTCATGAATGCTCGGCTCTCAGAGGCCACTGGGGCCTCCTGCTGTCCACCCATGGACCGGACGGGGTTCCCGGGCAGGCTTTCGTGGGCACTAGACGTCATCTTGGGCTTGAGCACAGTGCACAGGCCGTCATCTTTGTCTTCAAGTGACATTTTCTTTCGGAGGTAATCGATGTTGGCCAGTTTGCTGTCTAACTTCTCACATCGGAGACACTCCTTGGCCTGGGAGGCCTTCTCCGTGTTTTCACCCTTCCCAGAGCTGGACCTATCAGCCGAGTGGCAGAGAGTGTCCTGGAGGGTGCCAGGAGCAGAGGTGCGCTTGAAGTCACAGATGCCCTGGCTGTGGTCCCCAGGTGCTGGGCCATGGCCAGCCGCTGCCCCTTCCGAGGTCACTCCCTCGCTGGCCCGAATGCTGGCCTGCTTGTGAAGAGCCCCTTTCAGCAGGCTGCCCACGGATGGGGCCTCCTGCAAGGCCACTTTGTTATCAAAATGACTTGACCTTTCTAAAGCCTTCGGATAGATTTTCTTCTCTCTCTCTTCCAGCCTAAAAGTAGAGAGGTTTTCTAAATCACTCCCAAGTCCATGGGATTTCTGGTGGGGTTCTTGTTTCTCTGGGAGACCATCTGGCTTCTTCACCACCACCTTGGCCTTGAGCTTCTCTCGGTCCAGCTCATCCACAGACTCCTGTCTCCCCAGCTTCCGGGAGACAGGACGCTTCAGGCAGCCTTGCTCCACAGGCCTGGCGCGGCTCAGGGAAGGGGCGTCACACACATTCTCCTCCAGGCTCTGCAAGGTCACTTCCCGTGGAGGCTGTTCCCTCGGCACCTCCTCCTGGGTCACCTCCAGGCTGTGTTTGCGGGAACACAGGTGCTTCTTGTCACTGCCATAGGAGGGAGACAACTTCTCCTCTGACTGCACGCGCTTGAGCAGTGGGGACCTGGGGGGCTCTGCACTCTTGGGCCTCACGATATGTCTGACGATGGTGGGAGGGGAGTGCATTTTGCTGGGAAAAGCTTGAGCGATCTTGGAATTGCCAAGCGAGTGTCCCAACAGAGGGGATGGTGACCGCTGAGGGGAGGTGGGCTGTGGTGTTGGAGAGGGGGTCCGGGCCAGTGGGGAGAGGGGGATGCTGCCAGCCGACTTCCGCCTTCCAGAACGGTAGCGCTGTCCGCTGAGTTTGGGGGCCAGACCATGTAGGGTGCTGGGCCGGATGTGTCCTGACCCCGCTGGGGAGTTGGGGGCACTAGAGCTTGGGGAGCTGCTCTGAGAGGAGTTAGTACCTGGGGGTGGAAAACAAAAAGCCATGAGCAATGGACTCCATTCCTTTTCTTTCCATGCTTCCAACCCAAACGGTTGTAGGTCGGCTCAGATCAAGGTCAGCAAATTGTCTTAGCATCTAACTCTATTGAAAAAATGCTTTTCAGGTAAACCTCCCCCCACATCAGGGTTCAACCCCGTATTTCCTGCCTTAATGGTCTAAATAGACGTATCTTATGACTATCCTTTCACTTACACCTTCTTTCATTACGCTGGAATAAGCCTCCCAACCCTCAGGAGCTCAGATAGTGACTCTGACCTCCTCCCACCTCTCCCCTACTGTCTGGGCCAGGAGACTCACTCACCTGATGGGAAGTCAGGGGTGGAGCGATAGCTGGGCGTGGGGGACCGGGGAGACAAGCTGTGCGTTGGGGAGCCTGGGAGGCTCTCCCCTGATGACAGGGACCGGTTCAAACAGGAGAAGCTTCGGCTGGTGTGGAGTAAAGGAGAAGGCTGCTTGGCTAGTTTTTTAAAAAGGGATCTCCTCCTAGAGCGGAAACAAAAACAAAGGAATCAGATTCTACATAGAGGGCCCCTCTGTCTCCCCACAATATGGGTGTGCTCAGTTTCACACCTCTGTGCCAGTACAGCGACACGGTGTCAGACCCCACACTAAGGTGTAGGTTCCCACTCCCATATTAAAAACCTTATGACTCAGAAAAGAAGGGTCTTTGCTAATGTACAACGGAAGTTCTCTTAATTCCGAATACTTTAAGAAGAAGCAACAAAATAGGAAGAATAGAAAACATAGGAAATATATATTCGTTTAGTTATCTGTCAGGGTTATGAGGAGGGTGTTTTGTACCCACAGCTGTTTGCTGTGCTTATTCCACTGTGGGCTCTTGAATATTCCTAATGACCATGTAGGCGGTACATTTACGTAGAAAAAGCGACAAAGGTGAACTGAAGCTTATCATATCAGCAGGGCACCACACACTATATAGCTGCAGCAGAAGCAAATGAGTATTTAGTGCTCAACAAGCATATCTTAAAGGGGGGAAAAAAAGCTTCTGATGACTTAGAAGTACACGTGGCTGTAGAGAGCTCTTTCACCTTTAAGGTCAGGCAAGCCTCACTCCCCGCCAGTGAGCTTAAGCAAAGGTTTACATGCTGCTACACCCCTTTGAAACAGTGTGTTCTGTTTAACTTAAAGCACAATCAAAATCTAAAGCACACTTTAAGAAAAGTGTATGAATCAGTCATTAATACAAAAGACCCCATCTCAGAATTCGTGTGTGTGTTTTATTTGAGTTTAATAAATGCAATAAATGTACTTGGGTTAAACAATGAAATCATTATATCAAGTTCCTAATGACAGACAGCAACTCCCCTGCTCGGCCCTTGGCCCACTCCCCAGAGAAACTGCTTTCTACTCCTTTAGCTACTTCTCCTATTTGTCTGCATATTGCTAAGTAATCTCGTTAAGTTTTCATTTTTCAATTTTAGAAACGATCTACTGATTTCCTAGGACAGAAAATGAGAGTTAGACTCTTACACAACCCCCTTCCACCTTCAGACCAAATACACTTCCCCCTTTTCTACGCCTCCCTCTAGAGCTAAAACAAAACTTTCAGTTAGAAAAGAGGCGGAGCTTTTCTTTTATATTCTAAACACTGTTCATAGCTAGGCCATGGGAAGCATCATTCCATTTCCTTTCTTGCAGGACTTTGTCTTTCCTGGAGTGAATAAGCACCCCTTTTTCATTTGCTTCTTTCTCCACATTTCTGTCATCAAAACCCCTCTTACTACAATCAGACACATTAGATCCAAGCGGGCCAAACGGGGATGCTGCTGTGGTGTCACATGGGGAGCCCATCCAGACAGGTGCCTGGCAAGAAATGTCCCCACCAGAAACACACACACGCATCTTGCCGGCGTCTGCAGAGGGTACAAAAGGACTCACAGCGCCTCCCAGATGGCAAATGTGTAAGGCAGTTACATCGGCAGTCAGTAAAACAAAAACCTTTATTTTTAAGCTTATGTGGATGCTTTTTAGATATAGTTATTTTAGAGTATCTGGCATTTAAAAAAATAGCAATTGTTAAAAAAAAAAAAAAGCAATCGTTTGTTCTCAGATAATGTAAAAGACATTACTGAGTGTACATTTAATGCTAAAAACTGCCTGAAGGTCTGGGGCCTCACATTCAACTCACCTGAAATCCAACAAACAGCAAAGCACTGGTCATGATACTCATACAGGAAAAAAAAAACGCGATCTGAATTCTTCTGCGATCTAACTATGGAAATCTTTTCACTGTGAAAAATGCTGTTATGAATGTGAACTTTAATGTATTAATATTTGAACCACAGCACCAAATTTCTCACAGAAAAATGAGTCTTTCCCATAGATAATTGTTTAAATTAAGGAGTAACTTTCGTCCAACACGGGCATATTAAAACCCCACGAAAATCCTGCTTTAACTAACCTTTCTAGACTTTCTTTCTTCTTCGATTTCTTGCTCCGCCTCACCATCCGGCTCTTACAGCTGTTTCTCCTGGCTGGTCCCGTCTTGATGGACGTGTTTTCAAATGGGGTGGTGGTGATTGAGACCTTATTTCCACTCTACAAAAAAAAAAAATGGGGTGGTATTAAAGGGAAAATCTGGGAGCACACAGGATCAGAAGTGGGAAAGTACGTTCAAAAACAAATAAAGATACGTAAGGACGTACATACAAGAGCCTTCCATGTCTAAATAGCCTTTTAAGCAGTGGCACCCTGACAGAACACGAAGGCAAAATGTTCGATTTCTTTGAGAGGGCAGGCTCTGGACTCCACAGATGTGAGTTCAATCCAAGTTCTATGCATGCCCTGAGCAGGTTGCTTCTCCTCTCTGTGCCTCAAACACGTGCACTATCCAGCAGTAGAATCACACCTATCTCACAGGGGCTCGTGTGTGCATTACCCGGGATGGAGTTTGTAAAGCCTGCAGCACCAAGTATGACACAGGCAAAGGACTCTATAAACAACAGTGATCTTCATCCATATGTAGGAAGTATAAATGAGCCCAGGGGCTGTCTGTTGTTGGTTGATTTATTTTTCTTTTTTCTCCTTTTTGTGTTTTTCCTTTGACCTAGAAATCATAGACCAGCAAAACTGAATGAGACTTTTATTTTTAATTATTTTAAAAGATTCCTTTGCTGGCACCATAGAACCTGTCAGCTTGCAGAGCTGGGAAGTTTACGCCAGCGAGTACAAAACAGCCTTTCTTTAACCAGGTCATGTATGGGGAGGTAACTCCTGGTAGAATTCTGGGACTTTCACTCAGTGCTGGGACAGGGCTTGCCGGGCAGGCCCTGGGGGTCGACAGAAGAGAGGAGTCAGAAGCTAGGCTGAGGGGCGCCCTGGGCAGATGGTAGAACTGATCCCCTTTGCTCCAGCATTAATGACTTCTTCTTGAATTTCTTAATAACCAGGGGAAAAACATGTCCTTTCAAAGTCACAGATGGCCCTGATTACCTCAAAAAAGATAAGAAGTAAAAGGAGCAGGGTCTTTTAAAAGGTCTATGCCCAAAAAACGCCTAGCAATTCAGCTGTAAGTGGTACTAAGAGATGGGGAGTTAAGTATGGTGGGGGCAGGGACCAAATCAATGGGGATTGATTGTTTTAATGTTAACATCTACCCCCACCACCAGCTCCCACTGCTCCAATTTGGGAAGTAATACATGACATTATAAGAAGAAATAGTAAAGTGTAAGTAAAAATAAAAATCATTGAGAAACTTATTGCCAGCTAACACTGGTAATACTTCAGTATATTTCCTAATCTTTTTTTAGGCATGTATGAATTACGCATGCACACAGACATACGTTGTCAACAACTTTAATCTTAATTAATCTAATATTTAGTTTTATGTTGTTTTTCCATTTCTCATTATAGAACTTGAAAAACCTTCCCCACATCACTGAATAGTCATTAAGAACATAATTTTGGGGGCATCAGGGTGGCTCAGTTGGTTAAGCATACGGCTCAGGTCATGTTCTCATAGTTTGTGGGTTCAAGGCCCATGCAGGGCTCTGTGCTGACAGATCGGAGCATGGAGCCTGCTTCAGGTTTTGTGTTTCCCTCTCCCCACCGCCCCCCCATCATTAGTGGTCTCTCTCTCTCTCTCTCTCTCTCAAAAACATTAACAATTTTTAAAAAACTTAATTTTTATTTGCTGTATAATATTCCATGAGATGGGTGAATCAAAATTCAACTATTTTCCTACTGCTATTATTTCCTACGTTTCAGTTCTTTTAAGACTTGCCATAAATATCATCCTCCATAAATCACTGTCCTACTCTCTGTCATTTCCCTTAGATTACATATGTGAATCAAAGGGTCTATCCAAACTTTTTTATTTTAGAGAGAGAAAGTGCATGAAAAGAGGGGCGGTGTGGGCGGGGAGAGGGAGAGAAAGACAGAAAGAAAGAGAGACAGTGAGAGACAGAGAGAGACAGAGAATTCCAAGCAGGCTCCACACCCAGTGCAGAACCTAATGTAGGGTTCAATCCCATGACCCTGGGATCATGACCTGAGCTGCTATCAAGAGTTGGACGCTCAACGGACTGAGCCATCCAGGTGCCCTAAACCTCTTAAAGACTCTTAGTATATACTAATACACTATTTTCCAGAAAGTTTATGTCAATACATACTTTTGCTGGCAGCACAAAAAGACTTTTCTTACCACAGGTTTGTCAGAACTGAGTATTAATGTTAAACACATTACCAATTTTATACGAATAAATTGCAATGAGTTTTAATCTTCATTCTTCGACATTGTCTCATTTATTTTGGTCATTCCTATTTTTTTTAGGAAATGACCTGTTCATGTCTTACATCCACTTTTGTGTAAGTTTAGTATTTTATGAATGATTTTAGAGGGTTTTTTTGTGTGTGTGTATTTAAGAACATGTAATCTCACACCTAATGTCGTAATTGTAAAAAAAAAAAAATAAGATTTGAACTGGAACAAAAGAAAAAAAATATTCTGCAAGAACAAACTGTACGTTCTATATGCAAATGCCAAAAGTTCAAAAATAAACCCTTATCTGACAAAGATTGATTCTATTTCTTGTTTAAACAGAACATTCAGCTTAAAAGCATGAAAGGCCTATGAATGGAGGTTGTGTGGAAGGAGATCTCTGCACAAATTGAGGGAGGCCATACTACAATTTCAGTTTCTCCTATATGCCTTAAGTGAATGAAAAAGTAACAAATATGGCTGGAGTTCATCTTTCACTGCAATTCTTTCAATCCTTTTCCACATTCATAAGCAGAGTAGACACAGACAGCCATCATACGTCCACTGGGGCTGTCCCACTGTGCACGTCACTGAGCCTGAATCCAATTCCACCCTTTCTAGCATAATTCCCCTGGTTTTTCTATCTTTATCTGTAAGAGGCTAACAAGGCCATTCAGCCTTTTTAAAGCACATTTTGAGCATTAAAGCATTATTTCCATATATTCTGTCACTTTATTTTCACCACCAAATTATGAGGGCTGTTTTGTTTTGTTTTTGTCTTTTTTTTTTCTAATACAACCTTGTGAGGTGCGAATGGATTGTTACCCTTCATTATAGATGAGGAAAACAGATTCAGGGATGCTGAGTTTCCTTTTTTCTCAGGGTCACAGAGCCCGTCTTAAGAGCCCACACCTGGCTCTCTGCGCCTCACCCCCACTGTCTGCTCCTCACAGGCATGGCGTGACCTGATCGTCGTCCACCTTTCCTGCCCCTGGCAAAGTAGATGGCTTAGACTTAACGGGTGGTGGCGAAGGAACCAGGCTCTGGACAATATAGGGAATGATTGATGCAACAGACTGTCAAGAAGAAATGGAAGACATATAAAAATAGCATAAACGTTGTATGAAATAAAAATAAATGATGAACAAATCTCATCAGAAAAGTTACAGCCAGGGTTTTTAAATCAGAGCACATCACTGCGTTCTGTACAAATGTTCCCTTCCCCTATTAAAAACCAAACCCAGTTTTCTCTTTCTTGTTTCTATATATGGCAGAGGACAGTTTGCTTGACCTATACACTCAGAAAACTTCCCTAAGGAGGAACTACAGACACTCAAGATGCAAAGTGCAAATATTTCACTGGGAGCATTAACGATCATGCAAATGGTAAATGACGGGAAAAATAACTTAATCCACAATAGGGTGAGAATCGAAAAGCCTGCCACCTGGTGGATCCATCGGCTACATGGAGGGCTGCCTGAACTCAGTGCAATGTGTCTTACTGGGTCAATTTATCCTCAATACATTCTTCTGAAGGAGCGAACTCTTGTAAGAGAAATTCTGTGGCACTTGTTTAAAAAAAACAACAAAAAATGGTGCCGGTGGATTGTTAAATGTTCAATTTGTTCACTTTTACTGTAAACTGTTGGTATAAACTGTGCATGGTGCGAGGGAAATTATTTTAAGCTGGCTGAACTGAATACAATGGCAGGCTAACCATCTCTTCCCCTCAGTCTGGCTCCAGGTTAACTTCTCAGTTGGCCTTGGATAGACTATTTTTACATTCCTTTCTCTGCGACATGCACATGGGGAATGTCATGTTTTCTGCAGGCCTGGGTCTTTGCTGTGACTCACATCCTCCACAATCCAGCCCCAGCCAGCCTGCACATTCCATCCCATATACAAACCCAGGCTCCGGTCACTCGATTTGTGTACCTCAAGTACTCTGAGCTTTCTTGGCCTTGCATTTGCACACACCCTCTTTGTTCTGCTGAGCCCACCCTGCACTCCCTTCCCATACACTAACTCTCCACCCATCCTTCACAGCCCTGAACAGATAACCCCTGTTTCATCCCCCCTGGAAAGCCATCTCTCCTTCAGAATGTGGGCTAGATTTACAGTCGGCTCCTTATGTTTAACACTTTGTAGACTTGGTTTCGCCACTGGTTTTCCACGTACTCTGGTGGACTCATGCCAAGCATGGGCTCCAAAGCCACACTGTGGGGTGCAAATCCTCTTTTCTGCTCCTTCCTAGCGGGTAGCCTTGGGCCTGCTTTGTTAAATTTCTGCTGCCTTCATTTCTTCATCCGTAAAATGGGAACAATGTTGTTTACAGGACCTGCTTCACAGCAAGTGAGGATTATAGGGGTTCAGCTACATAAAGCACTATTACCTAATATTCTTATGTGTTGTCTCTTGTGCGACTGACCCTTCAGTATCTAACACAATGCTCTGCACGTTTTTAGGACTTGGCGAATATGTAAGGATGGTCATAATGACACTATTTGATGGCCTCCATTTTCACATCTAAAGGCTCCCCAGAGTTCATAGAAAGGAAATTCTTGAAGCCGGGACTAATGAAGTTTTAGGGCTGCTTTTATGTGCTGGGTATTGAAACTAATACTATCCCCAAAAAGCAATCTGGTTTACTTGAGAGTTTCCCAGATTAGAGAGGTTAAGCCGGGCATGTTATCATGTGCGTCAATACGGACTCCATCCATCGCTGCAGTGAGTGCACAGAGATTTCACTGCTCTTACAAAGTTCTTTTAGAAAGCTACCCAAAAGCAGAAAGGAGGGGATCACCTCCTTGCAGCAGGACCAGTGTGAGGCAAAGCTGAAAGAGCACGCGGGAAGGGATCCTGGGAGCCAATGGGGAAGTGAACTGGAGAAACACATTGATTCTGTAATTCCACAGATCTATGATGAGAAGTGACTTTGGACAAGCTTCCCTGTGGATATGAGTTAGTGCTCCCATAGCAGGTCTGCTTGGAAGGTGTGAGAGTAAACGAAACCACATGTGAAGACGTCAAATGTGGAAAATGCTTACTCCGTTTGCAATCTGAAAGATATTGTACTGCATACGAACTTCTAAACAGATATATAGCAGCCTCAAGCGATGGCTCTTCCACCTTTTTCCTAAGGTGCCATAACATTTCATGAAGTAGTTCGCAAGTATAGAACACGAAATCAAGAGGGGTGCTTGGGTGGCTCAGTCGGTTGAGCGTCCGACTTCAGCTCAGGTCATGATCTCACAGTTCGTAGTTTGAGCCCAACGTTGGGCTCTGTGCTGACAGCTCAGAGCCTGGAGCCTGCTTTGGATTCTGTGTCTTCCTCACTCTCTCTCTGCCCCTGCCCCACTTGTGTGCTCATGCTTGCTCGCCCTCTCTCAAAAATAAATAAACATTAAAAAAAAACAAAAACAAAAACATCAAGTAAACAGTACCCGAGAATACCAAAATATAGCCACTACCCTGATGTTCCATGAGTGATGTCACGAGGACGCCCGGTGTTGATCCTACTCCCTTTACACGCTGTCCAAGAACCGCTGTTTAAATTTGGAAGAAAGCTGCATGATTACACAGTTCACTGGAAAGATAATTAAATCCCTCGTATCCTTTTTGTTTCATTACATTGGTCGCTCCTCTCGAGTGCTTCCTTTATGAAGTAGAGGCAGGACCCTCTGCTTGGCTCTGCGACAGAGCAGGTCATGGCTCCAGAGGGTGCCAAGGCTCTCCAATACGGCTTGTTTGCACAGTTTCAGAGACACACTGACTACATCCAGGAATCAAGGTGCACCCTAACCAGAGGAGGACAAAACTGTATGAATGGGATTGGATTTGGCTAAGACACTTTGCCAGACACCTTCAGGAGAAATATACACTCAAATTTCACAGAAGCAGGCTTTAAAATCCACGATCATATCTAACACTCCATAAAATAAATTATGGAAATAACCAAATGCATCAGCAAGATAAACAAATGCCTATTTTCTAAAGATATATACACTTCAGTTTATTATTTCTTCTTCTGATTTTGTGAGCAGACCCAGGAAGTGATAGGAAGATAGGTTGTGGATGAAGCGATGTTGCATGTAACATAATGCTGTTACAAAGAAGGTAGAGAGCCAAGCTGATGTTACCAATGAAAATCCCTTGACCTTCTTTTAAATGCTAATGCGAAGACTGGAAAAAGCTCTAGCAGGATGAATAACAACTAAGAAAACCTCACTGTAATATACAGACTTATTATCCAAAAGAAAGGGTGAGCTCCTAGAACAGATCAAGGAGCATTTTAGAGACAAACAACACTTCTGTCTGCGTACTTCGGAGGAGCCTAACCTACTTCGGAGGAGCCTAAGGCATGTGTATTGGATATGAAGACAAAGGGAGGGAAAAATCCAAAACAACCTTCCTGGACTCTTACTCACAAAAGGTCAAGGGGCACCTGGGTGGTTCAGTCAGTTAAGCATCCGACTCTTGGTTTCGATTCAGGTCATCATCTCACAGTCTGTAGGTTCAAGCCCTGTGTGAGGCTCCATGCTGTCAGCACAGGATTCTCTCTCCCTCTCTCTCTGACCCTCCCCAGATCTCACGCTCTCTCAGAATAAGTGAATAAACTTAAAACAACAACAACAACAACAACAACAACAACAACAACAACAACAACAAAGGGGTCTATCTGTGAGCCAGCAATGAGGCACCCCTGGACCATAAGAGCAGGTACTGTGAGAGAATCTGCTGGTCAGACTCATGAGTCTTTATATCCCATCCAGAATTTAGTCTTGCAAAGCCCGAAGTCCTATCAGGCGACTTTCACAGACAAGGGATCCCAATGCCCTGCCTCCCATTTCTTGGATTCTTACTATGAGAGAGTTGTTCCATACCAGGTGGACAAAGAATATTACCAGGGACAGATGGTGATCTAAACTGAAAACCTCAGGTTGTACCCACGGTGTCAACTCTTTCTGTTCAATAGCCATACTTGAAAGTATAGACTAACCCCAGCCCTTTCAAGCTGACTGACAAAATGAACAGCCTGCATATTAAGACATGAGTCAAGACCAACAAAAGTAGAAGTGGGGTATTTGACCCCCTCCATGGTAACTTTTGGAAAGAAAGCAAAAGAGGACCCCAGCATTCACCTCAATTCCACGAACATTTATTGCGTACCCACCTGTATATCCCAGGTATTGGGTAAATGCTGGAACTACATGGGAAGATGTCCCCTGCATCATCAACCGGTAGGTATGAATGACAGCATAGTCAGGTGCCACCCCCTACAGACTTTGGTTTTGAGCCCAAGACCAAAATTTAATTAATAATGTGAATTAATCAGTGGCAATAACTTTCCTACAACCTGCTACTTCGCAATGGACCTCTGAATATGCCTGCTATTACTACTCTCAGAACCTAAGCCAACCCTAATCTTTTGAAGAATACGCTCATATTAGCTTGGGGAATGACAGAAAAGGAGAAAAGTCTTTTAACTGCACTTATTTTTGGAAGGCTTAGCACACCCACTTCTTTGTAGTGCCTTCTAAATTTCTAATTTTCTTTCCTGTTTCAATTCAATGAAATTTCTCTGTGATGTCTCTCCCCACTCATAGAATATTCTCTCCAAAAGTATAACATTCCTCCCTCTGTGACAGTCCTAAGTTAAACTTCATCTGCTTCCATACATCTCCTATATCTCCCATATTTCTCAAAGGCAAGGACTATACCTTCATTCCTGTGTTACTAATATGTACTATGGCACTGGGCTCAGTGTGAGTGCTCTGAAAAGAGTCTGAATGTACATTATCTAAATGGCAGGTACATATTTATGTTCTGTCTGTCAACAGACTGTAGTTTATCTGAAACCATGGCTCACACTTTTCTGTATACAACTCCCTTACAGCCCCTTTCAGTGCCCAAAAAGCAAGAGATCATCCATAAATCTGCTGATTTGTAAAATAATCTTACACCTAGAGACTCTATTTCTGATCACTGACTTCTTTTTCTGAACAAATTTAAAATCAAGTACAAATTCGTCTTTGTTTTTACAAGAGCCATATTTGGAGCTATAACTTTATATTCTACTGTCAGCAGGTGACACAGCAAATAAGAGAACTGAAGGATCAGTGTAGATTTTCTCTCTCCACTCACATTCACGCTTCTTGTGATCTTAACTCCGTGGGCTTTATTCAGCTTACATTCAAAACAGAAAATGTTCTATGTTCAAAATCATTTGTGTGAGAGCCTAATGATTACTAGAACCCCTTCCTCCATTGCTACTTACTTCTGTCATCTACAGTGTATGTGTATATATTTCCATTTCTATTTTTCAAAGGAAATCCAACTCTCAGACTGAACCTTCAAATCTGACCTCATTTTCATACCACTTCATCTTCCATTGTACTGGAATAAAACTTGCTGAATGGCCCTGAAGAAAACCATCTTTAGCATAGGTGACTTCCCAACAGCTTTTACTATGTAAGGCTCATAAAGTGAAAAAGAACTCTTGTTATTCGTAATTTAGAATAAGAAGTTAAATTCAGAAGTGATTGTGCAGATAGAAGGCCATGTTTTTTCATGATATATAGAACCAGCAAATTCATATTTATCTGTTTCTTCACCTTTTATCAGACTTTAAACCACTGAATACTTCCTCAGTAATAAGACTGTTTATGCATGCATCATAGAGAATTCTAGAACTTAAGGAGAGAACTCTTGGTACCAGTTCTTTCTGATGACCTTTACTTGTGTGGCATGGGCATAAAAAAGATAATACCTTTAGCAAAAGCTCTATAACTTCCGTGTGGACAAGTCCATGCACTGGTTCTCCATTGATGTGTGTGATCAGATCCCCAGCCTTCAGTCCTGCTTGGCATGCTGGACTTCCTTCTTCAACATTCTGAAGTCCAAGAAAAAAGTATAGATTGATCAGCCAACAAATGGCAACCTTAACATCTACTGTTTCTTCTGGGACAATATTCTGGGTGAATTAGCAAATGATCCTAAGCTTCTAAGAGGAAATCAATAAGGCATGGTTATTATTCCTTTTCTGACATCATCCTAAAATAGGACACTTACTTACAAAATTTCAGGTGAGTGGGAAAGGTAGTTAGTTTTGTTTGTTTTTTAATAAAAGAAGGCCAGGAAAAAATTAAAAAGAAGGGTGACAATAGGACCATCTTGGACAATTTCTACCATGCTGGCATGCAAAGTGGACAATCAAATATGAAAACTGGACAGAATTATGAGAAGTTATTAGTTTTTGCTCAATTCAATGCCACCATATAAAGGGAAAGGGCATGAAACAGGTCCCAAAAGCCAGCTTAGCAGAAAAACTGTTTGCTTATAAATATGCCTCAGCCAACTTATTCATTGTCCAGTTTGGCTGGGAATGAAAAGTAACAAGGATGAGAGGCTGTTGATCTCACCCAAACAATATGGTGCACTGTATAGATGTCGCTGTCTCCCACATACACCCGGATGGCTCGGATGGTAAAACCGTAGTTTTTCCCTGAACTGTGGATCACAATGGGCTGATGTGGACTGGCAGAAGCTCCTGAAGAATCTCGGCTGGGAGAAGAATCTCGTGAAGAAGAAGGGTCCGAGGACAGGGAATGGGGGGACATTGGACTTCCCAGGGGAGAAACGGCAAACATATCTGCAACACAGAAGCCAGTCGTTAGAGCCGATGCTGATCACACAAACATCCATGCAGCCAGCCTGCACCGCATGAGCCCTGCAATGATGGGGAGCTCAGCCACACAATAAATCCATTCATTTCTCATCAAGAAATAATATAAAAATATTTATATTGCTAACTAGGATGGCTTTCCAAACAGGGGATATTAAGAAGACTTCAAAAGTGTCTGTACTGCAACTAATTTTTCAGTGAATTCTGTGAGGTTAGAATTTCTTCATTCTCTATGCTAATTAAAACACACACCAAACTTAGTCCCCTACCTGGCTGGGATAGCTGTAGTTGGTATATTTTGTTGTCCTTAAATCAGAGATGCACAAATTTCAAGTATGCCTTTACACAGAGAAGACTGTGGAGACTATAGTAAAAGATTCTCAGGCTCCAAATCAACAAATTTAACATGGTCCTTTTCAAACACACGTGGTCAGGAAAACAATCCATCAAGTTACCAGTTCCTTTTTACAGTACTACTGAACTAGTACTCAAGTGATTTCGATCAAGACAACAGTGAAATGTCAATTTCTTTATGAAACAATCACTCCTAATTATTATGAATACAACTGATCGCTTCCTACAGTACCTACAATTCTAACAATGATTCTCAAAGATAATACGGGTGAAATAGAGAAATTTTAAGAAAACTTAATACCACAATACCAATTCTATTCTGTTTTTGTTTTATTTTTTTTTTAATTTTTTTTTTTAATGTTTATTTATTTTTGAGACAGAGAGAGACAGAGCATGAACGGGGGAGGGTCAGAGAGAGAGGGAGACACGGAATCTGAAACAGGCTCCAGGCTCTGAGCGGTCAGCACAGAGCCCGACGCGGGGCTCGAACTCACGGAGTGTGAGATCGTGACCTGAGCCGAAGTCGGCTGCTTAACCGACTGAGCCACCCAGGCGCCCCTGTTTTTGTTTTAAAAGCAAACACGCTTTTATTGTTGATATCACTGTTCCATCCATGTGAGTCTAAACAGATCTTAATTAACTGGTCACGTGAAATTGTGTGTGTGTTTGACAAAAAGAATGATCCACTAAAGATGCTGAAGTTTAAATGTGAGCTCAGTCAGAGGCAGGCTACTATGTGCCCAGCGTTACTGAAGACTCACCAGGTTCAGTGAGCACCAGGGGAGCCACAGCAAACTGCCAGTGCCCACACTATCATTTCTTCCGATTCTTATATCTGTCAAAGTGGAATAAAGCTAGGTAGATCACTAGCGCTGTTCCTTCACTTTGGGACTGCGTGTGGCACTCTTGGTACTCTTTCGCTGGCTACCTTTTGTCTAAAGATCACAAGGCCAAGTGAAGAGACACACACTGGTGGGCAGGGAACTTGTAACCATGCGAGCGGGAACTGGACAGAGTGGAAACACATACACACATCCAAAGTGCTGGAAAGCCAAGTCCCCATCCTTTGCGGCATGACAGTTTCCCTTATCGCCCTGTATTAAACAATTGCTCTACCTTACCAAGATGTGGGCTTTCTCACCAGCTTTCAAAAGTGGACTTACCTTTCCAACTGCCACTGCTTTGGAGTTATGAATAGTCATTCAAACTAAGGAGATAGATGGTTACTTTATGGTGCTGAATGGGACACCTCCCAGAAAACAGAGTGGGCTAGAGTGAGCAATACCCCCAAATGAGCATTTGTTTGTATCAAATTTCTTTCTGCACAAACAGGAAATTTTGAAACTGTAAACAATTCCTTTTATACAAGGTCTGTATTCCTCCAAATGCAAGCCATCTGCAATGTAATTCAATTGCCACTTCCACTCTCGGGCTGTCATTTGAGTGTTAAGTCACAAACACCAGGGTGTATGTTTTCTCACTTCTGGGGGAAGTGCATAGACTTAGTGATTTCTAGAGGCAAAGCCCTGGTGTATAAAAATACTGCAATTCCACAAAACCATAAATAAGCCCAGTCTTCCAATACAGGGGAGAAAACGAGTACCAGTAGGAGGAAGCCTAGCTCAACAGACAGGGTTGGGAAAATTTGTAAATTTCAGGGCTGTCTGTGACTCTCTGCATCCCCAGAAATGAAAAACTTACGTTCTCCATATCTCTCTCCTCATTAATTAGAAGAGGAAAAACTGTACTTAGCTTTCCAACACATATGCTATAAACAACTCAGTAAAGTACATAAATGATGCATAGTCTAGGGAAGAAAAATGATTCAGAGGAGATAAATTTACCACTTAATTTGAGGAGGGGGGAGCAGAAAAGGAAAGAAAACAAATAAAAGAAATCAGGCTGTGTGGGAAGGAAGCCCGCCTCATCTCCTGATGCAGAAAGAAGCAAGAAGAAATCAGTGACACATGCTGTCTGGGAGCTCTGGAGCTCCCGCAGGGAGAAACTCCGGAGAGATGCACTGGGTACCGCCCGTTACTGCTTCTAGCAATCTTGCATCTCGATCAGCATTCCAAACTGGGGAGAGGGGGACACATGCACAAAACCACACAATTTCATGCGAGTAGATGTCTCTCTACCTCCTGGGATCATGAGGGACAGAGCACTGGCAGAAAGGGACTTTGTGACTTTCCCCGAGATTTTCTTTTTTTCTGTGCTTTCTAATCGCTGGCGAGCCATGTGAGAAGCGGGTTCACTGGGTGGCTTTGAGGAATTATCTGTACTGTCCACACACTCGCTTCGTCCATTTATCTGATCCAAGTGCTCTGAAAAACTGCCAACTGTACAAACAAGAAGGGATAAACACGTTCAGGGAAATCAGATAGGAGAGGTGGAAAGAGGGCAAGAGAGAAAAGAAGGAAGAACAACCTGGGAAACGTACTCCCATGTGGCTCAACAATCCATATGGCGCCAGGCAAGCATTAAACACACATGACTGCTTTGAGAAAGGTGATGGGGAAGAGAGGGGATGAAAGACATGTCCATCCAGGTTTTATTCTCCTTGTACCTAAGTCTGCTAATTCTCAATGACTCCGCTTAACTACAAGAGTCACTACTTTACAGAATTTCGATTTTAGAACGCTTGTAGTGACAACTCCTCCCCACTGCTTCCAACCACGGGAGGCTCTGAAGCAAACACCACCTTATGAACACCATGACCACCCACTGTATACTAAAATTATCCTGTGATATTAATGGTCATCGTTAGCAATGCTGTGAATAATGTGGACATGTGGATAATGCTGTTTGGGACAGGTGGACATCATCTCATTTCTTCACGGAGACTTGGGACTGTGTCATCTCCTAGTGTCTTCCTGGACTGCACTAGACTGCACAAGGTTCACGTATGTAACTCACAGGAGAGTGCCTCAAGCATCACCTATGACTTCTCATGCCCTAAGTCTCCTTGCAAATCTCCCAGGACAACAAAGGACAGTACTCACTGCATTCCACAATGGCTTGCTGCATCTTCCTGGTTTTTTTCTCTAGACAGTGTATCATCTCCTGATCTGCCCTGAGGTTACTGGACCAGTGGTAAGATCCTTTCCCTTCCCGTCTCAGCCAGCCACACCTTCTTTATTTTTAAGTTTATTAGCCCTTAACAGAAAGGTGGGTTTTTGTTTGTTTGCTTGTTTGTTTTAAAAAAAATTAGGACTCCCCTCAGCAGAGGATCACAAGAGAATCACGTGGGAGGATGCAAAAATGGAAAATCAGTGATGTCTGCCTGGGTGACCACACAGACCAAGAATAAATAACGCTTCTGAGCGGAAATAACATGTGGAGTCCCCCAGAGGAAAGGGGAACAGCCACCCATTTCGGGTTTTTCCTACTCTTTCACAGGCTATCAGTTCTCTTTCTTTCTTTTTGTAATCACTCACAGTTTATCTTTGTCCATCCGGAAAAAGTGATGCTCATCTCATTTTGACTTCTAAATGCTGTTACAAGCCCCCTGTGCTTTAGAAACCATCAACACTATCATCACCTTAAGATATACAATCCATGCAGAGAATTTAATACCATTATAAATGATCCTTTGAAAGACCAACCAGCACATTTTAAAGCCTAGGAAATAATTAGGCTGGATAGGACTTAATTCACAATCCCGTTCTGCTGCTGAATCCACTACTCAACTTCACAGCTCAAGTTTGGCCTCTGTGCCTAGGAGGTGACAGAGACCCTACAGGCGGGGTCCTCGCTAAAGGAAGCTTGGGACTTGAGAGAGCGCTGTGGGTACAGGAAAAGAGCTGGACCTCCACGCGACACCCATGAGACCCAGGAAGACAATCCTAAACGAAGCATCAGCAGCTTTCCTACTCCTATATTCCAAACTCAACCTCACTTAACTCCATCTACTCAATTCCCTCTAAATCAAGAAATCAACAGCACAAGGACGTGATAAAAACTGCTTCGCGACTCAGACACCTCATCTCCAAAACCTTAAGTTTACTTTGGGCTAAATTACACACTCTTCTCCTTGCTAATCTGGTAGGATGGGCTCCCTGACAAATGAAAAGCCGAATCTCTTCACAACGAATAATTGGTTGACTCGAGCACTACACCTAAGACTTCGAGACTTTTTACTTTTCACCGATTCAAATGCAACACGATCGTGAAAAAAAGAGAAAGAGGTATGAAACTGTACTTCCCTAAATGCCTGAGTGCGAATAGGTACTGTTCTTTTTTAGCATCCCTGCCCCCTTGCCTTTGCCACGTCCTTTCAGAGCAATGGATAGAAGTGTGCGTTTCTGTTCTGCCAATAGTGGATAATGTCACCTTAATGTTCTGTAAATGTCAAGGGTTCTTTCTTTTTGATGGCAGAGCAATATAAAAATCAACAAATTTAATTTTACTACAGTCACGGTTTTCAGATTTCCTAATTACCCTTGGCCGTAAGCAAATCAGTTCATCTCTCTATTCTGTGCAGCCCCCAAGGTCTTTGATTATTTTTAGTGTGTATATGGGGGAGACAGAAAGGTGGTTTGAATCAATTAATCAAAATGCATGGCAGGACCTAAGCAGTTTTTTTGTTTTTTTTTTTAATTATGAAAGTAATCAATCAAATGCTTAGATACCATTTCCCTCCGACACTGCTGATGGGGACCAGGGCAAAGAGACTAAGTGATCACCAATGACTCACCATATTAAAAAAAAAAAATTTTAAATAGAGGTGAGTATATTTTATTTAGAGCATAATAAACTAGGAAACAGAGACCTTAGTAACGAGAAAAATAAAATACTGAGATACTTCCATTTGATTTATCAAGATGAACTAAACATAATTAAGAATTTTGGACCACTAGGTTGTTTCTACACTACTTCCACATTGCTATTCTCTTGGTTTTATAAAAAAGGAAGGATAAGGGCAATTATCCTACATGGCAACAGAACTTAGAAGAAGAGAGAGAAAGAAAAAAAAAAAAAAAAACAACCCACATTATTTCCATAGAGGCAAACTTTTCAGTGAGGCTGAAATAAACCTAGCCTGTAAAATGTGTTTCCTTGAAATGATTTTTAAAAAGTTACACTATGAATATTCAGTTAGTTAAAAAAATGTTCATAAAAATTCCTGGAATAGTTCAGCATTATCAATATAGCATATCGAAGAGAGCTTAATGATGACATTTATCGCAGCAACCCTAAGCCATATCCATGTTTCATTTTTTTTAAAAGCATACATGAACATTTCTCTGTAGAAGGATATGCTATGCATAAAACTGTTATAAACCAAGTAATATTCTAAGTGCACTTGGCTTGGTCTGAGGGAAATTCAAGTTTGATCACCTAATGAGGACACCTCCATGATTAAAGGCCAGAAAATATCCATGATACATTAAGCCTTTTTAAAAACCTGTGAAGATACTGTCACTCCTGTCAGGAAAGTTACTTTTACACAAAAGTGACATTATAAAGTGCTCTCCAAGAAGAGGCCTAATCCAGGGGCACCTGGGTGGCTCAGTTGATTGAGCGTTGCACTTTACCTCAGGTCATGATCTCATGTCTTGTGGATTCGAGCCCTGCGTTGGGCTCTGTGCTGACAGCTGGGAGCTTGGAGCCTGCTTCAGATTCTGTGTCTCCCTCTCTCTCTCTCTGACCCTCCCTAGGCTCATGCTTTTCCTCTCCCTCTCAAAAGAGAAAAAAAAAAATTAAAGAAAAAAAAAAAAAGAGAGAGGCCTAATCCGTTTAACTGCCTCCCAAACAGTGAAAGAGGTCTCAGGAGTTTCTGTACTCCAGTTACCCAGAGACTGGAAAGGTAACATGTCTATAGTGGAGGCGCCTCATATGCACGTAAAATACCAATCTGAATTGTGCTGGTATTTCTCACTCACTCCTCCCCTCAGTCCTGGATGCACAGACAGCATCTGGGAATCTCACAAAATGAGCATCGTGCTGCACTCACTAAGAGTCCAGCGTGAAGAGGTAAGTTGTTTGGCACAACATGGCCCCATAACTAAAACCACCTCCTTTGAAGAAACCACCATCCATTTTGACACAAGAAGGAGAGCTGGTCTTACGCTGTACCTTGTGGGTGATTTAAGCCATTTTTGAGGGTAATTCGAGCGTGTCACTATTTGGTACAGTTCCTTACTCCTAACTTTCAGTTAGACACTACACTGTGAGACCTGCTTTTGCATCAACAACAGAGAAAGTGGTCCTTAGTGTGGTTCTGGTTGCTGACAAAGATTCCTACTGAAACCCAGTCATGAAAGCTAAGGCTGGCTCTTGGGTCAAACTGAAACAAGAAGGGTTTACTGTATGGGGACGCAATAAGGAGGGGTCTGAAACACTGGACCTCAGTTTGTAAGAGGTGATCCCCCGAGCCTTTGACGTGGGGCCATGGATGGAGTCTAGCAGCACAAAACAGCCATTGCCACCACCTGGTTAGGCCAGCCGGGGACTCAGAACACTAGCCATCACTTGTCAACGTGGTGGGTGACGTGTGGACAGCAGGCACCGCACACGGGCGCTTACCTGACAGGGTGGAGCTGCTGATTGTACTGGCGGGAGTGGTGACCTCGGGCTCCTCGTGCAGGTCTCTGGGGCAGGGAGCACCTTCATCTTTTTCTGCCTCTGTTGAAATAGCCAGTTTGGGAAGTGGGCCAGAACTGAGTTTATGTCTGTTGCTTTCAGTATCTGAAGAGTTGGATGTGGATAACTGTTGCCTTAATTAAAAACAAAACAAAGTCATGTATACATACATACTAGGAAACGGTGTTCAAGGAGAATTTTGGAGGAAATTAGGTAAAAACGGAACTTGGATACACCCAACCAACACATGTCTAGCACAGTGGTTCTTACAGTGTGGTCCCTGGGCCAGTAGCAAGAGCATCTCCTGGAACTTATTACAAAGCCTCCATCCCAGATCTAGTGGATCACACATGCTGGAATGGGCCCAGCAACCTGTATTTTTACAGGGCTTCTGGGACATTCTGATGCACACTCAAGCTTAAGAATCACTGCTCTAGCAGCAACTGCACATGACCCTTCTTAACAGACGTTTCACATACATTTCCGAATATTCCGAACTCCAGCTGAATGTTTCTGTGGATGGCAATGTTGTGCTTTTGGTTTTGTCTCCAGGCTCTTCCTTCTCTTCTCCTGGATTCTGAGTTATTCGGTCTATGCTGCTGAAAACCTGCGAGGTGAAGCATTAGGGTTTATTAATATCTTCTTGAAAGAGTCTGTCAGAAAAAAAAAAAAAAAACCCAACCCCTGGGAGTAAAGCCCAAAAGTATGACTAAAGTTTCAGCTGGGACCGTGTATTTAGGAGGTACTTTCCGATACTGTTTACTTGAGTCCTGAGATGTATGGTCAATGTATGTATTTTTTTTTCTTCTTGGAGCAAAAGCTATGAATTCATCACCCTCTTGCCCTGTCTTGTTATGGACTTTGTATCTGCAAACAAAATCCATAGACGCGTTGGGGTTTCTAGGCCGGGGGATCAATGCACACCTTAGATTACTTTTTAACCATGATGTCTATCAGAAAAAGAAAATCACAGAGAGAAAGCTTTAATGGCCACCAGTCAGGGGTGGGAAGGAGAATAACGAATTGGAATTGAGTGCAAACAGAAGAATAAATTACCTGGTTCAAAAAGTGTGTGGGGGGATGCAGTACGTATGTGGTTATGAGTCAGAGGTCTCTGGCTTATAAATCACATATACAGACACGCAGCTTGGCACTGGCATTTCTGAAAGGGATCAGAGCTCAGGCAAGCCTGAGACCTCTGTGGTCCCACAGGAAAGGTGGAAGGGAAAATACAGAGCTGGGAGCCCAGTGCAGGAAGCAATCCTTACCGTGCCATGCAGCCACTCACTGCTCTCATGGGTGGGGTGCCCTTAGATGGCCCATTGGTCTACTAGGGTGAGGACCAGGCTGGCTAACCAACAGAAGACAACAGGAAGGAAATGGAGTCCAGGGCCTGGCTTGGATGGGCCAGAGAAGAGGCACTAGGGAAAGCCTGCACTCAGTGTGATCAAAGCTTCAGTGCTGGCTCTGGGTAGGCCGGCCACCACCTCCTCCGGGGAAACCTCACCTCTCCATGGCCTTCCTATAAACAGGGCGGTCAGTGCCAGCCCACATGCAGATGTGCTGTATCTAGGGAGCCACATAGAAAAAGGTATGAACACTTTATCAACCCTATGTGTTATAGAAAAGCTGAACATCATCATGCAAAATGCCATGGCAACAGAAAATGCATAGCTACTGAAAATATCACAAGGGAGGCAGGCAGGGGGCCCTTTAGGTTTGTTTCCATTTTCCTAGGGCTCTTCCAGTCTCAGGACTATCAGGTTTCTTCGTTTTATTTGCCTGTGTGTGTGTGTGTGTGTGTGTGTGTGTGTGTGTGTGTGTTTTAATCTTACCACTATCAGTAAAAAGCATCCATTTCAGACATCGATTTTATTACCTTCTCCCACTTCCAAAATTCGGGCTTGGCTTCCTACAGGCTTTTTCATATAACTTATGTTCTCTGTCATTGGTTACCAGACTTTCTTATTCTGCATCAACTAATCCCCAAGGGTCCTACCTGATGTCAGGGACTCAGACTGCTCCTTTGTGTTGTATTCCATGTGATACTAGGAGGGGGCTATGCACACAATGACCTCAAGCTCAATGTTCTTCATTAAAAGATGAGAGAGGAGAGCCTAGGTGGTTCAGTTGGTTAAGCGTCCAACTCTTGATTTTGGCTCAGATCATGGACTCAGTTTGTGAGATCGAGCCCTGCTGTCAGGCTGTGCACTGTTGGAGGCTGTTTGGGAATCTCTCCCTCTCTCTCTGCCCCTCCCCCGCACATGCTCTTTCTCTCTCTGTCAAACCAAATAAACAAACAAACAAACAAAAAGGGTCAGAGAAAGGGGAGGATGCCTCCACAGTCTGGCAATGAACTAAACCTAGTCACACAGGGTGAGGTCAACATATATGGCTCTCGTGTTCTCCATAGATAATACTGTGAGTGCAAGTCTGCGTCTCCAAGAAAAAAGATATTCATTTGTGGAGAGTGAGACAGGCAGGTAGGGACTCTGGATTATCCAGATGGTGGGGTCACTGTTCCTAGGCTAAAAGGAATTTTAAGCACAGGAGACCCCAAGCACTAAAACACTACAGAGGTGATTTTTACAATCTTGTTCGCCTATTTAGAAATGCCAACTATCTGGCCTGAGGGAGATTCTCCAGAAAGACTCTGTAGGTTTCTGCCATATTTCACTTACTTTTGAAAACCTGTGTGAACAGGAGGAAAACTGCCTTATTTCCACAGTAAAGTCTTCATCATTTGTGTCATCTTCTTCCTCAGTCTCCATGTGATGATATTTCTCTGACCGAGCTGCAGAGAAATATTTGGTAACAGTTCCAATCACTCAGAATTTCAGCTTTTAATTTAGATATGTTACTAAGAGTTTCTATATCAAAGCATTATGTTTAAGAACTCATAGGCTCGGGGCGCCTGGGTGGCTCAGTTGCTTAAGCATCCGACTTCAGCTCGGGTCATGATCTCACGGTCCGTGAGTTCAAACCCCGCGTCGGGCTCTGTGCTGACAGCTCAGAGCCTGGAGCCTGTTTCGGATTCTGTGTCTCCCTCTCTCTCTGACCCTCCCCCATTCATGCTCTGTCTCTGTCTCAAAAATAAATAAATGTTAAAAAAAAAAAAAACAAAAACTCGTAGGCTCAAGACTAGAAACTTCTATCACGAGCAGAGATAATTTTCTACAAAGTAAAGGTCAAACAACGTTTTATGTCAGATAATTCACGTACTATCAAAATAACTTGTGTCATCCTCAGATTCCAGTTGGGGAATAAATTCTGCCTTCTGTCTCAGCAAACTGTTCCAGTCTAAAGAACGGAAGAATCGATGCTGTTTGACTTCATAGGCGCCACCTTGGGGTGCAGAGGAGAGGGAAAGAACAGAGAGGAAAATATTAAACTACCCTCACAGCAAAGCTTTTGACAACACCTCCCCCTGCCAACACTTCAAATCAATAGAGAAACAAATTAAAGAATCATGCAAATCTTACTTTTTCATTCTACAACAACCCCTCCCAACCCAAATTTTCCCATAATTCATCGGAAGACGATTTGATTTTGCTAACAGCAGTTGCCATGGCACAGTTTTCCTTTGTTAATTTTTCTATGACTTCCTCCATTTTCCAAAGGTTAATGATGCGGACATTTAAAATCACATTATGCTGACCCTGGGGATGTGCACACATGTTGGCCCAAAGGAGACTTGCTCATTACTACAAAAAAAAAAAAAAAAAAAAAAAAAAGAAAGAAAGAAATTCTAACAAGGCACAAAATGTGTTCACAGCAACATTTCCGCCGGAGATAAGGTTAATAAAGATGAATTTTTCCTGAATAGTATATAATGGCTTCCATTCAGTTTTATTGGATTGCTCATTAACATAGGTAGGACTTTGATTCTGTGGATCACAGATTCTTAGGTAAACTGGCAAACCTGTTTCATAGATTTATAAAGCATGTGATGAAAATCAGGTACCATTCCTAAGTTTTAGGCTTTTTTTTTTTTTTTTTTTTGCCAATCAGCATAGTTATTTAGTTCATGATTTTATTTTTTTTAAAGTTTATTCATTTGTTTTGCGAGAGAGTGAGTGCGTGCACGAGTGGGGGAGGGGCAGAGAGAGAATCCCAAGCAGGCTCTGTACTCTCAGTGCGGAACTTGACATGGGGCTCAGACTCATGAACCATGAGATCATAACCTGAGCCAAAGTCAAGAGTCAGACGCTTAACCGAATGAGCCACCCAGGCGCCCCTAATTTAGTTCATGATTTTATTGAGGGTTTGAAAGGGCAGGCCCCATCAAAATATATCATGCCCCAGGTAAAGGGAAACAGGTACACATGTTAGACAATCAAAGTGTGAGAATCAGGCCTCTGCCCTTTCACACACACACACACTGTCGAGGAGGGAGGTAAGGAAGAATCAGTCCCCAAAAAATACCACGAAGGAGTATTTCTCACAAGACTAACACAGGCTCTCATCACCTCCCTGCCAGGAGATGCCCTGTAGGTGTGACGTAAATGCCTTTCTTGTGAAGTTGTCACCATGCTTCCCACTCTGTCCTCAGTGTGGTACCAAAAAACAAAACAAAACAAAACAAAACAAAAAACCAGGATGAGAAATGCAAACTGAAGGAGAAAAGGGCCTGAGTGTCGGGGTGAGGGACCTGTCTGTGTGGCCCAGAGATGTGGCTCTGCCGGTCAGGTTACTGCAGCACAGGGTGCAGACTGGAGCCCCAAACCCAGCCAGGGCAAGAGCAAAGTGGGAAAGTCACCCCCAAAAAGGAAGAACAGATTCTTCTTTACTAAGCATTTGATTGGAATCTTTATCCAGGATGCTACATAGGCATTCTCTGTGTTTCTGGCACACAGTGGAGTCTGATGTTGACCACAACAGCAATAGGAGTGGCAGCGGGCAGAGGAGGGCTGACTTGGACAAGTACTGCCCGAGACGCTAGAAGCATCCAGTTCTCTTCAATTAAATCACTGAAAGCAACCCCACAAAGCAGGCATTGCATCAATTCCATGCTTGGATGGGGAAAGGGAAAGAAAGAGCACTGACCGTATCTGGAGCTCCTGTTACATATTACGTTAATGTACTTGGTGTCTTCATGAACATACTGAATTTCAGTCCTCGCCATAATCTCGTGAGGTACATAGCATGCCCACCCTCCTAGATTAGGAAATTGTGACCCAAGTGAAGAAGAAACCACTCAAGACCTCCCAGCTGGTACACGGGTGGAAGTCCGTCACATCTGAGCAGCTGTAAAGTCTGACAAACCAGGCTGCTGTTCAGTACTTCACGAGTTCAAAAGTCTAGTTGAAGGACAAGTTTCCCAACTGCAAGTTATCCCTTGCCCTAATGTTCTCCCTTGAGGTTCTCTCTCCTTTCATGGAAGTTTCTTAAACATCCATTATGTTCTTCACACTCTTTTTCTCAGCCTCTCTAGTCTCTCGGGCAAATGTGAATTCGCACATTTTCACAGTGCATTATTTTGCCCGCTAAATATGCATTAAATCCAAAATGCTGTCATTGGAAGCAGCATGGCAGGCCTGCAGGATTCTCAGCCTCATTCTCTGGACCCTACGGGATCTGTCACATGGGACCTGTCTGTTTGGCACGTACTTCTCGACAATACCAAGAGCTGGGTCAGGGCCTTTTAAATGTCTCTTTTGAGCTTCTGCTAGGAGATTCGCTTCTCAAATTGTCAAACCCCGAAAAGAACCCAAGTAGCAGGGAGAAAAATGAGCAGAGAGGTAACGCACAGCGTATCACATATAAACATGGATGCGTGGACCATCACCATAACCCTGCTTTGTCAAATCCAGCCCAGCCAAGTTCCCAAGTATTCTCAGAGGAGGGCAGCAGGCAGAAGACTCCGTGAGGACACTCTCCAAGCCGACCCAAGAACACAGAAGATAAGTGGGCTCTTTGGAAGGGATGTGCCGATTCTAACGTCATCTTTAGACGTATCTCAGGCCAACGCTTCCCCGGGACAGCTGACGAGCACACGTAAACAGATATTTGCGGTGTTGCAGGCTGTCTGAAAATGCCGCCGATTCTCCTATTTGGCTCGAGCGGAAATCACGCCTCAGAACTCTGCCCTGCACGGGGCCTTGACACCCATTCTTTGACACCTACTCACATCCCTGGAGCCAGAAAGCAAATGTGACTGCAGGTCACAGAGGGCAGGGAGCAACGAGTTTGATAGTTACTCCAAAGGAAAATGAAACAGGGGGGAGGGAAGAAATATAAAGTACTCTGTTCAAAGAGTTCAATCAGCTCAAAGACAGGGGCACCACCGCCATTTCTGTATCTTGTATGTCCAAAGGGGGAAAGTGTGAGATTATACGGGCAGAACATTAAAATGGTAATACCAGGGCCAGCAGTGTCACACCTGGTTTTAAGAGCCACGGTGGATGATCTTTTAAACTCATGAAAAGGCGGGTACTTCTTTAAGCTCCATTTTACAGACGGGGAAATGAGGCACAGAAAGGGAAACATCCTGCCCACAGTCACACAGCAGAGACTTAAATGCACACAATCTGACCGTGGAGTTTGTGCCCTTAACTTCCGTTTGTATTGTCTTTCCTACTCAAAGGCCCACTCATCTACTGCAAAAGACAAAAATGCACATGGTCCTCCGGTAAGAGGCTCAACTCAAAGAAGTCTTCCCAAGTGAGCCTGCAGTTTGAATCTTGTTTGATTCTCTAATGCAGACCATGAGAGATGTTTCTGCAAAAAGCCGAATAGTAAATACTTTAGGCTTTGTGGGCAGGTTTGATGAGTCAACTCTGGTACTCTACCATGAAGGTAGCCATAAACAATGCACGTGAATGGCAATGCTGTGTTTCAATCAAACTTTATTTCCAAAACAAAAATATGGCCCACGGGCTTCAATGCATTACCATAAACTCTAGTAGCAGAACATATTTAAGCAAGAATGGAGCCCTCCAACTGGGGAAGCTGTGGGCAAAAATGGGGAATAATAGAAGATACGTATTTGGAGCTGGTGCAAATTATTTTTGCCTTGGGAAAATTGAGGGAGAGAATGATTTCTTCAGTATTTTCTGATATTTCTATTACAATGAGGTAGAATGAAACAGTTCAGAGTAAAAAACCCATCAAGACAAAAATTTTCACAGGTGAAAATTATGGGAATGGTCTACTGTGTTTTGTACTTATATTTAATATTTAGTCCCATCTAGATAAATTTACATACTAGGGCAGGTTGGGACTCTATACTGGGATCACTGTCCATTCAGAATATTAGAAAAGGAAAATGAGTGGCAGAAACATAACTTGTATGGGGAACAGCTGGGAAAAAATAATCGGCAAGAAACAAATCTATTATCTCCTTAATCTTGAAAGCCAATAGTTTTAATCCTCTTTCTTGGGCTATGGTATGATCACCATGATGAGACAGCATGGTTCAAACCTCTGACACTCATTTCCAGAAACTAATTAGTTCACGGACTGATAACCCATTTTAAAGCCTATAGACGGAACGTGCTGGGTCAAATCCTTCTAGGAATATATGTGTTACAAACAAAGCTGTACATCTCGAATCATCTATTTTAAATTATTTAAGATGCATGCTTTTCAGGACAGAAGAGTTACATGTGCCTTTGAGGTTTTCTTCCAGACAATTTTATTTATTGAAACAAATAACTTTTGCTTTGCAAAAAAACCCCCCAAAACCAAAAAACAACGAGAAAAAAAAATCAAAGACACACAACCACCAACCTTCCTAGCATACATATTGCTCTGAACCAGAAAAAAAAAAAAAAAACAAAAAACCCAAAATATGATTGTTATAATGTGTTGTAGTCATGTCCTACATCAACCAACAGATGTTTCCTAGGCAAAAAACAAACAAACAAACAAACAAAAAAAACAAAAACAAAACACAAACAAGAACCTCTTAATGTTCCACAAAGACATTATTTCTTGCATATTAGCAAAATTAAAACATATGTGCTCTAACCTGTTCCCAGTCTCTCCAGGGGATTCTGCCTAAGAAGCAAGGTAATCAGATCCTGGGCATCGGGGGGTGGAGCCTCATCCTTTTCCGGCCAGTTGATCTCATCTAGAAAGGAGACACAGAGCTTACAATGTCATTGTTCAAATGGCAGTCCGGGTACCTACAGCCTGGATGTGGCCTGGGAGTTTGTGAGAAAGACAGAATTTCAGGCCCCATCCCAGATTGAATCAGAATCTGCATTTTGGCAGGGATGTCAGTTGGGCATAAGCAAGTTTGAGAAGTACTGTTTCATGAGATATAAAGCAGTACAGCTGTCAACAAGGCAGGGAGAGAATATTTCAACAAGCAGCACCTTCATTTCCTTTTTTGATTCTTTGTATCTTTTTTTCTGTGCGGCAGAACTGGCTCACCACAAATTGTTCCTTCTAGTCACTAAGAGGACTTAATATGAGGGAAACCCTAAACACCTCTGTTTCAGGTGATTGCTTGTACAGGGAATCAAGACAGTAAGATTTTTCTCTCCTACTGTCCTTTAAATGAGAATTTGGCCACAGCCATAGAGTTCTTCAGCTTTGAGAAGCATGAGTTAATTTTGCAAAAATAACTATGTCTAGAGACAAATGAAAGGCCAAAGTGTTAAGCTTGAAGACAAAGAAATCCAAAGTAATCATAGTAATGGAAGTATTCAAAATCTGCCATAAATATGAGAACATGTTCTACATTCCACAGGAGTTTGCCTGAAGATAAGGTGTGTGTGCTTGTGTGTATGGAAATGCAATAAAAACATGAGTTATTTCTGTGTGTGCCTGCCTCCAGCTTCCTCTGCTGCAGTTTAAATCTGATTTGGAAAATAAAACATGAATATGCAGCTGAGCCGTAAGGCATCGAGAACAAAGCCAGCATTTGCTGCTTGTGTTAATTAAACAGTTGATTCCTCCTGCCATTCAGGCCTTGGTATATCAGCAAACAGCCTAGTTATAAATCCATAAACAGCTCAGATATTGTAGAAAAGGGTTATACACTGCAGGCAACACACAAATCTACTTTGTTAAAGTTTACAAATATGCCTGGCTTGCAAAGTCAACGATAGAGAATAACGCTGTGATTAAGGGACTCCTCGTACTGACTCGCATTTTCCCTCTCTTTCCACTGTTGGGCCCTGTAGCACAGTCCAGACGGTATCCGAGTGGGTGATGGAGGTGTCGGTGATGACTGATAAAACTCTGAGGAGGAGAGGCCTTTTTGATATGCTTCGGGGAAATTTATAAAAACAGCAGGTAGGGTACTAATAGGGCCTATTTAATTATCATTTAGTTTTGCCACAAGCCGCGTAACAATAGCGAGGGTCAGTGTGCAGGTTAAGATCTAAAGGTTATTGAATTTTAAATGAAAGATGAACAGCTGTTACAGAAATAACATTACACCATAACAACCACCAATGAAATCATTAACAGTCTGTGAATTAAATTTGCTTCCTTCCCATCCTCATTATTTATTATGTGGTAGACATTTGTTTTAGGGTTTATTACATTTTTGTTAATTTCTTCACTGTGCCATTAGCTATTTTCCCCCCATTTATGTAAATGTGACCCACATTAACCTTTTCTTCCCTGGTGCCACGTTCCTATGATGGAAAGGAAGACTGGACGGCAAGGAAATAATTTGCAAATCCCACGTGAATTTCTTTTGCAGAAAAAGCACACCATAAAAATCGGTTACACCGCCAGCGCCGTGCCAGATTCCATGTTAACGAAACTTCCTCAGATCAATTTTCAACACAAATTGATCTCCTGAGATTTGTCGGTCAGTTATGGGCTATGATGAGTGAGTTCTTTTAATGTGTTGGCTAAACTGGTAAAGGTTGACATTTTAGTAGTGAAGACGGCAATACTCTGCAGGATTACATTAAAGAGCTGCTTTCCAACAGTCGCTTGAAGATACTTACCACTGATGACTTGTCCAAACAGCTCTTCTGGAGTGTCCCCAAAGAATGGCACGCATCCAACCAGAAATTCATAGAGGATAATCCCCATGGCCCACCAGTCCACTGGCTTCCCATAGCCCTGCCTCAAAATCACTTCTGGTGCAATGTATTCAGGCGTGCCACAGACCTAAAAGATGATTGCAATATTAGAATAATTGGAATATTAGACATGAATCAAAATGAACACGATGGCTAAACACCAATTAGGTTGCCCAGAGTGCACCTGCTCAACCACATGGGCAGAGAACTTAAGAACAGCAATTATTAAGTCAGCATCCATAACCCCAAAGGCAATGAAATATTTAAACAGCAAAAAAGGGAAATTTAAATGCCGCTTTAATGTTAAACTATGCATAACGTGCAATTTCAAATTGAGGGTCTGACCCTGTTTGGTGGTTCTACTTATTCCACAATATTAAAAACATTTTTAACGCTTAAAAGAATGATGCATTCTTCATCTGTTGCCACCAGAGATAGTTTTAGTATTTGTATGACCAAAATATATTCACATCCCGGTTACTTTATCAAAGCCTGACAGTTGAGATGTGTTTACCTTAAGTAACTTTACAATGAACAGATTGTGGGCACATGGTAATGAGGCATGCTTAAAGGGAAATGGGCCATGGCTGGGATTTTAGCACCCGGGATTGTACAATGCATCATGAGTTTCATGAGTACTCTACTGAGACTCCTGAATTCCTTACAAAAACAGTTTTCCATTTGTCTCTCTCACATTCTCACTTGTGCGCAATTACATCGTTCGTCTTGCTAATAGACCATAATGCTGGGGGAGGAATGCGGAGGAATGGACAGTTCAGAGAGGCCCAGGGAGAAAAATGGAGGCGATTTGCACTTTATTAAACGTAAGGCTTATACAGACATCTAGACGCCCAGCACTAATGTGAAGCTGGCTTATACAAGTTGATTCGGAATGTCGCTGGCAATATCGTACTTTGTATTTCCCTCTAGAACTGGGCTGCGTGCAAGCTTACCTGTTTGTCCAGGAACTCTCGAGCATCCTTCTCGATATGACCTTCATAAAGATTGGTAGTCATGCTCATTAGTCCCACCTTGGATAATCCAAAATCTGTCAGCTTTATGTGCCCCATGGAGGTGACCAACAAACTATGAAGCAGAAGGACACATATTTGCTTTTAAGTTCTTTTCTTTTTTTAGCTTTCTCCTTCCCCTATCAATTCCTAAGTCTATTTAGTGTAGAGGTATCAATCTCAATATAGAACCCAGCCCGGGAAGAGATGAAATCACAAGAACATATTACACAGGGGTATCTGGCTCATGAGTGTAATTCACAAGGGAGGGCCAGACACTGGGTCCAGCTAATCTTTGTTGGGAGCGGCCACATACAGTTTCATTTATAGGTCTGAACTCTTAGAAAAATTTTAGTGTGGGACTCTGACATCTATTTTCAGTATAATAAAACAATAAAGGATTGATTACCAATAATCCCACGTCAATCTGTCCAAGGTTTAAGTGAGACATAAGATAAAGAACTTGGACAGAAAAACATACTATTGTTTAAGATTTCAACTTATGGCTCGAATTTAAATTTCTACTTATTAAGCACAAAATGTAAATTTCTTATGTATGCAAAGGATTCACATTTGACAGCTTTATGAATTTAAATTAAAAAAAATTTCATTTTAAGGGGAAAAACCAAAATTTTAATTAATTTAAAAAATTAAAGAAATAGAGGAAGTGTAAAGAGAAAGAATATCTACTGGAAAGAAATATTCCAAAGTTCTAATAGTTGTCTTTGGTAATGTCATGAATGAATTTTTAAATTTTATTTTATTAAAAAAATTGTTTTTATTTGTCTTGAGAGAGACAGAGAGAGTGTGAACACAAATGGGATAGGGGCAGAGAGAGAGGGAGAGAGAATTCCAAGCAGGCTCTGCACTGTCAGCACAAAGTCCAATGTGGGGCTTGAACCCATGAACCATGAGATCATGACCTGTGCCAAGATCAAGAGTCAGACGCTTAACCTACTGAGCCACCCAGGCGCTCCATGAATGAATTTTTAAAAATCTTTTTCTGTACTTCCAAATTTTCTGGAATGAGCATGAGTTAATTTTATATAGTTCTCAGCACACTTAGAATCTTTACATATTACACGTAATGCTTATAGAGCTGTCTGAAATTAGTGGAGAAAGCATAAAAAATTTAATAAATGGTGTCAAGATGAATAATAGTCATTTGGAGGAAAAAGTCTATGTGTATCTCAAATCAGACACTAAAATGAACGTCATATAGGTTTAAAACTTTTACATTAAATGGTGAGATAGTATATAATATCAAATATATCATCTTGGAGTAGGGAAGGGTTATCTAAGTATATAATACCAAATGCAAAAACCATCCAGAAAGCAACTAGTAGCATTCTATGATTCAAAACTTAACATAATAAAAAACAAACTTTTAAAAATTTAATTAACCCTGGATTTATCACCATCTTTTTCTTTTGTTCCTTAGAAGCTATTATTATAAGCCCCAGAACCTTTAAAGTACTATATAAACATTACCAAATATACTGCCAAAATAAGTCATATGGGAACATTACAGGACAATTTTAAAATGCGCAAAGCAGCATTAAAAGAAAACATTTTTATAGACATAAGAAAACTTTCTGCATGGTGTGAAAAAAAAGATCTGTTTCCTCAGTGTGCATACTTGTCTGGTTTCAAATCCCTGTGTACAATTCCATAATTATGTAGATATTCCAAGGCCAAGACTGTCTCCGCAAAGTACATCCTTGCCATGTCAACAGGGAGAGGACCCATATTCTTCATCAAGGTAGCACAGTCGCCTCCTATAAAACACAGACACAAGACTTAGCAGGTATAGTATGAGCTAGGATTGAAGATGGCCATCAATGCAGATTATAAAATAGCATCTACCCACAGACACAGTATACCAAGTTCCTAAGTGGGGACTGTGCAGAGTATTCCCATTTTTAACTAAGATGTGGTGTGGATAAAAAACATAAACATAAACATAAACATAAACATAAACATAAAGCATAAGCATAAACATATATATATTTTTTAAGGCAGCAGTTCTCCTAAGAGCAGATCTGGCTTCAAAGTGGAAATGAAATTTGAAGAACAAAATACACCAGTATAAAGCATGGGTTCTGGAATTAGGCTCCTGGAGTTCAAATCCTGGCTCCGTTACGGGTGGAGAGATCTTAGGGAAGCTAGCCCTGGCACCCTTCTCTAATATCATGACAGTAAGACTGTCATCCCTTGTAAGATTATTAAGTAGATTACACGAGGTGATATATGCAACGAATTGAGGACATTACCAACACTTATTAAATGTGTGATAAATGTTAGTTATCATAACCACAACGAAGGTTAGTAAGGCCAAGTGCTGGTGTGTGTGGGGGTGGGGGAAACAGGTGGAAATCAGGCACGCTACGCTTTTGTCTTGTGTCTACTAGTAAAGTATCTAGTAAGTCTCCCACCTCTTGGGTTTCAGTTCACTCATCCGCAAAATGAAAAGGTCGAACCAGATGATATTTAATGTTTCTTAGAATTTTATAGTTTTGGGATTCTGCTCAAACAATTACAAGAGCTTAAATTAGATGCTTTTGAAGATTGTTTTGGCCTTTCCTCATCTCTGCCTTTTATTAACTTTGTTTATCTCAATAAGTCATGGCCAAACATGCAGAAATTGAATGTAAAACTGATGGAAAGAAGAACATTTAAAAAGTAAACCATAAGTGTCAAAAAAAGGAGCGCTAGATTTTCTTGACTTGTATCTCCTTTTCCCCTAAACTCATTTTTAATTTCATACCGTAGACCACAAAGAATGCATTTTTAATTCATTCTTTAAGAAACTCAGTGTCACGAATGATTTTATGTTATGTAATGAAAGTAGGTAGGAAAAATTCCATCACCTATATCCTAACTGTAATGACCAACTGAGAGGAGGTAGTTAGGATTAAAAGCTATTAAAAAAGCAAAACCACCGTTTTCCAAAAAGCACTAATTTTCCCTTCGTTATAGTAGAGCAGGCACTTTACAAGCAATTATCAGAAGATAATGACTGGGAACACAGCCATCTCAGTGCCTGGCTTCATTTCCTAGGTGGATACAACCATTGGGTAGCACAACAGGGAAAGCCTCAGCTGCACAAAGGAGCAAGCAGCTTCTGGATACAGGGGTCACGTTCTGTGTGTCAGAGGCTGATGTACCTTCCACATATTCCATGACCATGCAAAGGTGGCGCCTTGTTTCAAAGGAGCAGTACATGCTGACAACAAAGGGATTCTCTGCAAAGGTCAGGATATCCCGTTCCACAAAGGCCTGCTGGATCTGGTTTCGGAGGATGAGGTTCTGTTTATTGATCTTCTTCATAGCAAACCTCTGCCGGGATTCCTTATGCCGAACAAAGTAGACTGCCCTGAAAAGGAGCATAAGAGTTGGAGTTCACGGGAGGTGAGGATGCTTCTGGGTACAGGAAACCACGTGATCGTCAACATTTTTTTACATTCACAAGGAAGGTGGAATTCAGCTCACACAAGCTATCCTAGCAGCTACATACATTCCATTCCAAGGCAAAAGCTTACAGCTAGGTTTATTTATTTCTTAATCTTTCAATAAAGGTAATCGGCTGTACATAAGGCACCAAATTCGTCTTCATGGCAAGGATGGAAATGGACAGTTTCCAGAGTGAGCTATTTCCCAATAGGTAGCTGATGTTTTCAGTTTTTCTACAAACAAAATTCAGTATTTAAGTCAGAACAGGAAAAGAATTAACAAAAGTACACACATACCATGACCTACATCTTTTTTGGCGTTCGATATATGTCACTGACTATATGACTAAAACAATAATTTTCTATATGATACCAATGATATCTGAAAAAAGGACCAAAGCTTCTTAGGGTAGGTGGCTTCCAGTTTGAAGGTAATTTACTCCCCATGACATTTCTAGATAAATGACAAGTGTGTACTAGGTCATAAAGAGGCTGTCCTACAATGAAGAGACCTCAGCATGATTTACATCTATGCCTGTTTTAACAGAAAATTCCTCTCCCAACATAAAAGGGGACCAATAATACACTGCATTTCCTTTCCATCCAACCCATGGCCAAGGTGACAGCCAACTTTACTGTAAAATGATGTTGCACCGAATTTCTGCTGCAAGACTCACTCAAACACTCTAAAGAACCAATTCTGGCTGGGGAAAGACAATGGACTCCCTGAACCTTGATGTGGAACAAACAAGTAAAAAGAGATGAGGAGGCTTAAAACCTCACCTGGAAATGATGAGCAACAAGGAAAATGTCTTCAATCAGCTCATTTTCTCTTAAGTTACTCCTCACTTGTCATTATTGTGGGAGAATAGATTTGAACTGTTAGGAAATGCTCAAATAAGTAATAATTTACCCAAACCGCAATCATTCACAGTAAAGTATTCCAACGTTTGCCTCCTAAAATGAGGGATTATTCTGAGATGCCTATCCCACTATTTTCATTGTTCCTAAAAAGAGAATGTAAGGGCGACTACAACACCCTAACTCCCTGCTGAACCAAGATGTCAGGGTAATCCACTTCTGTAAATCTTAGTATATTCAATCTCAGTTTAACTGGTATTCACGCATTTCGCTCAAGTGTGCAACTAGCAAATCGCTTTTCTGTCAAGTATGTGTACGTGTATCTTTGTCTTATTGTATCCATCTTTCTCCTTCACTTGCAAAATCACACATCATTTTGTCTCTGTTCAAGTTTTTTTTCTTTACTTTTTTTCCCCCCTCATTATTTCTTTGGTCTTCTCTTCCTTCCTTCACCATATACAGAAAATCTCTTTTATCCACACGTTAGATAACCAACCCAAGGAACAATCTAGTGCTGTTATTCCCGCTGTACAACAAACTGACAAGGGAGCTGGGCAGCTAACACCTTCCACAGGGGGCCATGGGTCTTCTTCAGGATGCCAAATGCTGGGGCTCCCATCAGCTGGGTTTATCTCCACACCTGTTTTTCTGGTGAGGCCTCATATCAGGATTAACTAATTTCAACAAATATTTAAACTGATGAAACATGAGTGTGAAAAGGAAAAGCTTTGTTGTTCATTAAAAAAAAACACACACACACAAGTGGGATGCTTTGGAAAGTACTGATAAATGTGTTAAACGTGAGTTACCAAATAAAATTCCTATTTTAGTACGGGTGAGAAGGTTTTCTAAAGTTGACAAAATAATACAAATCTAGATTCCTACATTCAGATTGCTTCAAGTTCTTACGTTACCTTTAAAAGCAGTGAAAAGTGGAAAACAAAAATGATTTATTACAAGTGTGGCTTATATAGGCTATCTTAAAAACGCCTTATATCAAAAGACTAGTAGGCATGTCTGGGTGGCTCAGTTGGTTGAGTGTTCAACTCTGGATTTTAGCTCAGGTCATGCTCCCTGGGTCATGGGATCGAGCCCTGTGTTGGGCTCCACATTGAGTGTAGAGCTTAAGATTCTCTCTCTCTCTCTCTCTGTCTCTCTCTCTCGGGGCTCAGTGGATTAAGTGTCCAACTTGGCTCAGGTCATGATCTCACAGTTCCTGAGTTTGAACTCTGCTGATAGCTTGGAACCTGGGTCCTGCTTTGGATTCTGTGTCTCCCTCTCCCTCTGCCCTGCTTATGTACTCTCTCTCTCTCTCAAAACTAAGTAAACATTTTTAAAAAAAGAGAGATTCTCTCTCCTTCTGCCCGTCCCACTTGTGTACACACACTCTAAAATTAAAAAAAAAAAAGACTAGTTAATTTACACATATTGAGATTACATTAAATTAAAATGTTTACAGAGTGCATCTTTCTAATTTTTTAGTGTTTATTTATTTTTGAGACAGAGAGAGACAGGCATGAGTGGAGGAGGGGTAGAGAGAGAAGGAGACACAGAATCCGAAGCAGGCTCCAGGCTCTTGTCAGCACAGAGCCCGATGTGGGGCTCAAACTCATGAACCATGAGATCATGACCTAAGCTGAAGTTGGACACCTAACCAACTGAGCCAGCCAGGTTCCCCTACAGTATGCATCTTTTTAAAATGATTTCCTACTCTGACTGACTTCTAAATTAACCAACCAACGACTCATTCTTTCTAGGTCAGACTAAAGGCTTTTACAGTATTTTTCTTTTCCCAATACTGATTGGATAAAATCAAGATCCTCCTCGCCCTCCCCAAACCTTGAGCTTCTCGTAGAGAAAAGCTGGAAGGAGGACAGACAGATACTGAATCAGATATAAGGGAGCACAGAAAATAACCTGGTTTCCGTAAAAACAGAAGACAAGCAATGGTGAACACATATTGTCATGAAGAGGAATTTTTGAAACAGAATTTACTTTTTAAAATGAAAATTAGAGGGGCGCCTGGGTGGCGCAGTTGGTTAAGCGTCCGACTTCAGCCAGGTCACGATCTCGCGGTCCGTGAGTTTGAGCCCCGCGTCAGGCTCTGGGCTGATGGCTCAGAGCCTGGAGCCTGTTTCCGATTCTGTGTCTCCCTCTCTCTCTGCCCCTCCCCCGTTCATGCTCTGTCTCTCTCTGTCCCAAAAATAAATAAACGTTGAAAAAAAGAAAAATAAAATGAAAATTAGAATTTGAAATGTTGAAACAAATAGTATGTTTAGATAAGCACTTGCCTATGACTGACAGTCAAGTGGAAGACAGATTACTTTCCCTTTCTTCTTCAAGTATTTACTATTGAGTAGCTATAGTGCTGAGGGTCCTCAGACAAGATACTATGAACTTCACTTTAGACTGTCACATAGGTGACATTAAATTTTTAATCAACCATCACCATTTCTTCCATAAACAACTGCTCAGCAATATGTTTATGAACAGTAGAAAGTGGAGAAGGAAGAACAGAACTGTCTAAGACTTAAAGAAAGAACAAAGTAGCAAGATGCCTCAGGTCTAATTTGACCAGCATCCAGACCAGGTTTCTCAGTGGTCTGATGTGAAAAAGGACTCATATCTTTATTCTCAGATTTGCAATTTGTAAAACTTGACCTTTTTGCTTTCCCTTGCTATGATGTACTTAAAACAATCAGTTAATCCCTAGGGGAATTTACCTAAATCAACTGAAATTAATCCTATAGGTAGCTTGAGACATCACTGCCTCAGGACACACATATCTTGATCAAGTTGCAAAAGTCAACTAGGCTTCTTAATTAGAATTTGCTGTAGCTGGATTTCTGCTTCTCTTATTCAGTTTTTATAATACCATACTGCTTTAGGACTATTACTCTTAATGCTGAAATCTATAAATCCCTTTGTTTAGTAGTAACTGTTGTCTTTCATATACCTTTCCTCCTTTCCTGTAAGTTCATATTCCAGATCTACTTAAGTCAATGGAGAGGAGACACAGAGACTGAAAGAGACAAACAGCAGCCAGCTGACAGACAGCTAACACCACTAAGCACAGGTGTAAACCAACCAAATTCTAACACTGGACTGAACTGATTCAGCCCCACAGTTCCTCGCTTTCTTTGAAAAGGTTGCTTCTGGGTCTCTTTTCCTACACCGACCTGCTTTAAAAGTAAGAAAACCCAAGGGGTTGAGGCAACTGTCCTCTGTGAGCCAAGCTTTACTCATTCCACCCATGCAGAACTGAGTAGTGAGAGGGTGGGGAGAAATGGAATCAGAAGCTGATGGGATCTAGAGCAGAATGAATCAGTCCTCTCGGGAGTGTGAATGTCTGATGCGTATAAAATTATGCTTAAGTCTGAGAGGCAATACGTGAATCCGTGTGAGCAGATCTGTACGTGGGAACAAGAGTGCATGTGTTAGAAAAAAGGCTACAAGGAGAGAGGGGTGGCCATCAACCTGCACACATGGGTCTCACGGCTCTCTTAGGTAAATGACCCCATCTTTTGAGGAGAAAAACAGACTGATGCGCAGCAAAGCCAGAAAGTAAAGCAAAGTGGGAAATGTCATGCCTTTCAAATTTAGTCTTTAAAAAAAATTTTGTTTAAATGTTTCATTTATTTTTGAGACAGACAAAGCACGAGCAGGGGAAGGACAGAGAGAGAGGAAGGCACAGAATCTAAACCAGGGTCTAGGCTCTGAGCTGTCAGCACAGAGCCCCAAGCGGGGTTTAAACCCACGAAATCCAAGGTCATGACCTCAGCCGAAGTCGGATGCTTAACCAACTAAACCACCCAGGTTAGGACCTCGTTTTCAAAAATCTTTTAAGTCAATTTTATTCTTTCACTTTGAAAATATTCAAAGCCGTAATTGAAAAATCCAGGTGGAATCACGAGAAGAAGGCCTTCTATACCCAATGAACATGGCTCTAAGTTGTAACAAGAATACTGAGAGAAGGAAAGAACACTGTTTAGAATTAGCACACCTGTGGCCATCCATGCATCCAAGCCCCTCTTTCCCCACATCTAAAAGGAAATAATATCGACACCACCCAGGGCTCTTGCGAGAAGACAGTATATATAAACCAACACGGTGCCTGGCACACGGCAAGTGTTAGCTCTCTACGAAGTGTTAAGTTGGCGTGAAGGGACATCTAACTTCCAGTCAGGGATCCAAAACACGTAACATGGAAAGAAGGAAACTGGATGGTATCAAATTAGTAGGTTGGCTTCATAACATGAACTGTCACTAAGTATGATGCGGAGAAAACGCTGATGTGTTAGAGACCCTCCTAATGAGAGGGCTAGTTCCCAGGCCGGGCAATTTTCACAAAGTTGAGGCATCGGTGTCACTCTGAGCCATGGATGCTGAGTGGCAGACTGTGACACATGTCAGGGAAACTTCCAACAGCCCCAGATCATCTACCCAGTGTTCCACTGGAACACATTAGCTTACAATCAGCCTCCTGACTGGGTGGACCAATGGGTAGAGCCCCATTCAAATTTTGAACTAAAAATAATTAAAATGAAGGGGAAATCTGTCAGAGATGTAATGAGAGATTAAATCTGAGAAGAGCAAAAGAGGAAAAAAGTTTTGGCTGATGGGCAGAAGCTCCCACAGGCAGCTTGTAAGCCCATTAATGGCTTGGCCTGCATCCTGGGTGTTTAGTGATTCACAGCTTGTTTAACTTCTTGTATATTCCCAGCCATTCCCTGAAGTGTGATATACCTCATCTACTATACAGTGGTTTAATTGCACTACAAATGAGTTTACTCAACCAATTAGAACTCCAAATAGTGCTAAGATATATGCCCAAATTTTATACAAGTGGTGCTTCACAGATCATCTTATTCTAGAATTCCACTGCCAATAAAGTCTACCAGGGCTCAAACCCATAGACTCATTAAATCTAAGTTCAGTCTTTTCCCTAATGAAGGAAGAAATCCTCACATGATCTTGAAAACTAAAATGAACTAAAACCCAAATAACAAACAAATGAAACTCACAAACAACTCTATACCCAAATAATTTCCTTAGGGGGACAAGTTTCAAAGGACCGTTGAACAAAATAAAATATTCTAAAAATAAAATATCAGAAAACATTTATAAGCTACATCAGGAAATATACCATTTGCCATAATCCTGAAAATAAATCAGTGAAGCACAGGAAGGACTCACAAATATTTAAGCTCTTCACTAAGTTAATGGTGTGGAAAATATTAGGTAAAAAAAAAAAATCGTAAGGAGAAACATCCCTTGTGGCGTAACAGAAATCGCTTTTATCTCATCTGCTCATATGTGTGACAAATGGCAATAAATGTCTATGGGATTGTTTATTGCTCTCCAAATACAGATGGAATTGAGATTAATACTTAATTAAACTAGAGCTCTTGGGCTGTCTAAGATGGATCAGGACACAATATGTGTATTAATTACCCTTCCTGTTTCTAAGGAACTCAGAAGGATCTTGTCACCATTGACCCTACACTGTGAGAAGAAAAGCTTATGTCTATGAAAATGAATCAAGAAAGGGGCACCACAGGGGCACCTGGGTTGCTCAGTTGGTTAAGTGTCTGACTCTTGGTTTCGGTGAGGTCATGATCTCACGGTTCGTGAGTTCGAGCCCCACATTGGGTTCTACGCTGACAGCCTGGAGTATGCTTAGAATTCTCTCTCTCCCTTTCTCTCTCCGCCCCTCCCTTCCTGTCTCTCTTTCTCTCTCTCTCTCTCTCAAAAACAAGTAAATAAAACATAAAAAGAATTAAAAAAAAGAAAGGGGCATCACTAATGTGATCAGAGTACGGACATCAACTGAAAAAAAAAAACCTTAGTGTGATATAAAGACTAAAGGAAATGAACTGCTCTAAGTTTTCAAGCAGTCTTTTTACTGCAGTACTTGTCTCACAAGGTTGACTGGTGGTGGGACTGCAAAGTACTGGTTAATTCTTAAGTAGTAATGCTATATAGGAGTATAAATATGTTTAGAGATAAAGATTATATATATCCAGAGGTAGATACGTGTGGATGCATATTTACAACCAGGAGTAGGCACCATGGCACTCAAAACAGTGGAATAAAGGAGGCAGAAACAGGGATTTATATAAAAACCTTCCATGACTTCATAAAGCCTCCTTCTCCAAACCTCTAAAATAACTCCAGGTCACTTGATACGTTTTCTTGATGGAGTATCCAAATAAAAAATGATTTTGGCCGCACATTATAGCCACCAGTGAAGGAGCGGTAATCTGAAAATTCAAGTCCCTAATGACATCTATTTGGCCTAAAATAAATGTGAAGAATACATTACTCAGGTGTGTTAAGATACAATAGAGAGTTTTCTTGAATTACTCACCCATAGGCTCCATTGCTAATCAATTTAATCGTTTCAAAATCACTTTCCCGAGGTTTCCTTTGAAGTTTCAAGGAAGCATTGGAGCTCTTGGAAACAAAATATGGAAGTTAGAAAAGCTGAAAACTCCAGACAATGACTGTAACAGCAACATAAATAATATTAGCGTGATACGCTCCAGTTTTTTTTTTAAACTTTTTTTTCACATTTATTTATTTTTGAGAGACAGCATGAGCAGGGGAGGGGCAGAGAGAGAGGGAGACAGAATCTGAAGCAGGCTCCGGGCTCTGAGCTCTCAGCACAGAGCCTGACGTGGGGCTCAGACTCACAAGCCATGAGATCATGACCTGAGCCGAAGTCCGACGCTCAACTGACTGAGCCACCCAGGCACCCCTATGCTCTTGCTCTGGTGTTTAATACGCTGAAGTGCAGTATTGGCAGCCAAAGGAACCTGAGAGACAACTTTAAAGATCAATGTCGCACAGCAGTGCTGATCCACTACTTCTCATGATAGAGCCTCAGTCTCATGTACGTGAACCCCCATTTCCGGGAGATGAAGGCACCAAGCTTTTGAAAATTTCCAAGTTTGATTTACCTTTGTAAACTATTCTTGTTAGCCTCATCCTGGTGTTTTCATGTTTTGAGACTTAAGTCCAAAACGTCAACCCTTAATTCAGGTTTCAGTCAGCCGGGAAAGAACGGGCTGTTGTGGCTCTACATGAGCTGATGGATACACGAACTCTGGTCTGTCCCTGGCCAGAGAATGTCTGTGTCCTTTCTGCGGTACCTTTTGTTTGGAAGAGATAGTAGGCAACAAAGACGCTCGAACAGACAATCCGTGTGCCTTTCTTTACTTCCCTATCATTATTCTTACGAGGCTTTAAATATCTATTTTCAAAAAGATAGCTCTTTAAATGTTGAGCTCAGGGGCACCTGGGTGGCTCAGTCAGTTAAGCATCAAACTCTCAATTTCAGCTCAACTCATGATCTTGATCTCCTCCTGGTTTGTGGGTTCGAGCCCCTCACTGGGCTCTGAGCTGTAAGTGTGGAGCCTGCTTGGGATTCTCTCTCCTTCTCTGTCTCTCTCAAAACAAGTAAATAAACTTTAGGAAAAACATAAAATAAAAAGTTGAGCTCAAAGGAAAATAATAAGCAAAGTGTTATGTTTAATTCTCTCATACTCCATGTATCTGAGCATTGAGAGGGTGAGCAGTGACAGCCTCTTTGCATCTGCTGCGGAGCCCAGGATTCTCTTCCTATTATTTTAGAAGAAATCCTATGAGTCTAAGGTACGTGTCACCCTCTCCAAACCGAGGCTGTCATGCGCTAACATGCTGTCCCACTCATCTTTTGGAGACTTAGGTACCCAGCTTTCCATCTTCCTCTCCGGTCGAGTTCTCTCACCATCCTGGATGACTTCCGTGTCCCACAGGTAACTTACCCAACACCCTGGCCTCTGGGCTACTTTAGTTGCTCAAACCAACGACTGTTTCTGTCCTCTATTTCCCCTTGGCCTTTGGCACAAGTCTTAGGTCCAGTCATCACTGTTAACACCCCATCACAGAAAATGTAATTCGGGACAAGGACCATGCACTTGCTCCACTATTCCACTCTGATGGGTCCCCAAGCTTTGGGCTGTTCAAAGCCCACCTGTCTCATTAACTCTTCCGCACCCAGGTGACCTCATTCATGCCCACGGATGATTCCTATGTCATTCAGAACCCCACCCGAAACTATCCCTCTGAGTGCCCCAAAATTCCACACCATATATATAGTTGCCAGTTTGATGGCTCTTCATGACCGTCCCCCCCCAAAAAAAACTTAAATCTAAACACATGCAAAATTGTAATACATATGATAGAATTAACAAAAATAACTATTGGGACCCCTGGGTGGCTTAAATGGTTGAGCTTTTAAATGGTGATTTCATCTCACACTTGCGAGACTGAGCCCCAAGTAGGGCTCCCTGCTTAAGATTCCTTTTCTCTCTCCCTCCCTCTCTCTGCCCCTGTCCCCAGCTCATATGCACTTTCTGTCTCTCTCAAAAAACAAACAAAACACCCGCCAACTATCATTTATTTAGCATTTAGTAGTGCGCTGACCTAACCATCTAACACAAACTATCTCATTTAATCTTTTATCTTTTTTTTTTTTTTTTACAGAAGAGGAAACTAGGCACAGAGATTCCCACAGCTAGCAAGAGGTACGGCCAGCTTTCAAATCCAGGCAATGTTACTCCAGAGCCTGGGTTCTTAGCCCCCAGGCAATACAGCTACCTCTCTTTTCTGACCACCCCCAACTCGCTCCAGGCTGGTTCCCAGGATGACGGCATCCTGAAACTGTCACCTGTGCCACTGCATAGTCTCCTGAGTGGCTTCCCCGTGGTCACCCCTGTGTGTTCCCCTCACCCCATCTACTGTCTGGACTGTAGTCAGAAGACTGGAAGCCATGACTCTGATTGGGTCATCCTCCTGCCTACTTGTCTCCACCCCACAAACACACCCACTTCCTCCAAAGTTCAACTACTTCCCACTGTTCCTTGAAAGAAAAGACTTGACAAAGATGAGCAACAAGGACCTGTATGTCAGGTTTTTACCCAAGCTCTTCAATCTTTGTGGTCTCCTTGCCCTTGCTCTCAGATGCACTCTGCTCCCTTGTGGCACAGTTTTTGCCCAGGATGTTCTCTGGGCCTGGAAGGTTCCCTCTGCCCCTTCTTATCCTAGCAACTTCTCATGCCACATCTCCTGGGCCATTTCCTTGGGAGATCTTATTGGACTGGCAAGACTAAGGTCAATTTCTGTATGTTTAGTAGCACATGGCCCTTTTTCATCATTGATCTTATATTCAAGTTTAGCATTTTTCTTTTTTCGTGCATGATTTCTTTTTATTAATTTTTTTCTCTTTGAAAAAAAGGACTAAAATTATATGCTTACTGCCTTGCACATAGAAGCACAATACATGCTTAGCGAAGAGACAAAGTAATTAACACACTCTGAATCTCCAGATGTTGATAAACAGAAAAACCAACATATTTCATCAAGAAAGACACTTACACTCACTGATTCATCTGTTTCTGGTGTTTCTGCTGTCCCACTGTCATAGTTTCCCAACTGAGCCATTTCTAAATTAAAAACAAAACAAAACAAAAAAGTAAAGATTAAGAAAAATACAACAATTATAACAAGATAAGAAGTAATATCTTTGATATTAAAAACAATTTACTCTCTACTTCAATATACCCATGGGAAAATCTTAATCAAAAATGGTAAGAGCCACCAGCTGCTGTTTTTGAAATTGTTCATTATATGCCCTTCTATAGAACCCTATTTCTTATGAACACCTAGACACGGGTACTTGAGAGCTGGGCTTCTGCTTCAGCTAGCAGGATTCAGTAGTCGACACAATCACCATGGGGTGGGGTTGGGGCAGGTGTGTGTGTCAATGATTATTCTTATGATAGGATTCTCAAGACAGGCAAGTCTTCCCAGGCTCTGAAAGGCATCAAAGATACACTGACCACAGCTCAGAGATGATTCTCAACTTGTGGCTGAGCATTCCTTGCTCCATTTCTTTCACATCCACTGAGCAATATCCCCTTCCTGGTACACTAAGAATTTGCAATTTGTCACAAAGGAAGTAACAGTTGTTAAGAGACGCTTGACGATGAGAAGGCTTGGGTCACCACAGTCAGCACTTACTAGGGACCTTTTAACCTCAGGCTCTTCCTCTGTAAGATGGGAACAATGTATTCATCTTTTACTAGTTTCTTGTAAGTACGATATAGGATATTCGTGTAAGGCTCTTAACATGTTGACTAACAAAAATTAAGTGTTCACTGAATACTGATTGTTATTTATTACAATCCAGCATGGGCTGGATGCCACATGCTTGACAAAGTAATACCTTGGTGGTCTGCTTAAAAGACACAAAAACAAAAAAGAAAAACAGAAACAAACAAAAAGACACAGGCATTTAACCGCTCAATCCACAATGGAACACATCTCTGGGTCTACCTAAGTAAATGAAGAAACCAAATTCATTTTATGTTCATTTTAATTTCTACACTAAAAATGTTTAGTTAAAAAAAACCCAAAAAACATGAAGGAATTCCCTCCAAAACTTTGATAGGTAGTTATCTCTGAGTGGTAAGACCACAGGTAATTTGCATTTTCTAATTTTTCAAAATTGAATGTGTATGCTAAGTTATATATATATATATATATATATATATATATATATATAAAATAACTTATACATAAGTTATAGTTTTTAGTTACCTATTTTTGTATGCATCTAAAAGGAGTCCTTAGGCTCTCATTCCATGTATTCATATTCTTATAATTATAATCATCCTTTTTGGGAGAGATTACACATAAAAGATAGGAAGCAAAACAACAGTGGAGTGTTGTCTCCAGATAAAAATTAACAAACTCCAGAATCTACAGTAAGTGAATACTGTCACTAACTTTCCCGTCCCTGTCTACCAGTAGCCGAAATTCAAGACTGAAAATGAGCTCAGTACTAACTACGTGCTTCCTTGGTGTCATTCCAGTGATGTCAACATCCTCTCTGACTAGGACCTTAGATTGTTGGACTGGTAGGTGAACCAAAATGTGTTCAGTTGGAGGGATTCTCAAGGAAGAGACTGACTTGAATATTGTTTGAATAAAAAGGCAATAGTAGCTAACATTTATTAAGCATTACTGTATCCTGGGTAGAGAAATAACTCACATAATTCTAAAAACATCTCTATGAATAGGTACCACTACCCTGGTCTTAGGGAAGGAACACTGAGGCACAAAGAGGCCCATCAACTGCATGGTCAAGGTCACAGCCTGCAGGGCTGGTCCCGGGGTGCAGAATGGGACATTCCCACTCCACACCCTCACTCCAGACTTTCAAAGGTCAGGCTGGAGGGCTGTTAGTGCAGATGCTGACAAGAAGGGAAACAAATGGAGACCAGATTTTGTAATAACAGCAGGCTAAGTGATATTAAATCGATTAAAAATGATCCTCAGATCTGAATCAAGAAAACAAAGTGTCAAGAGTTAAAAACACAACTCCCAGTGATAAATTTGCATTACTAAACATAAAACTGGTCCAAGATCACTATTAAAATTTATTTAGAGTCTCTATAAAGGTACACAAATTGGCCTCAGATTATTCACCTACCGAAGTTCAGCCTACAGTGTTATTTCCCTCCAGGTAAGAAAAGTGTGAAGTTCTCACTCGCTCTACAATTCAAGGGCTGAAACAACCTTAACTCTACCAGCGTGAACAGTCACTATAATATACTTTGACAGCCTCCCCACTCCAATTATTTTCATAAAAAAACAAATTAAAAGATGGTTCTGTTTTAAATAGGATTTCTGCTAAATAACTATTATCTGAGACATACATATTATTTGCGAGCAGTGGGTAGTAATGGAATGGAACCAAGAGTCAGCTTTTGAAGCAGGAAGCTAAGGCATCATTTTGTAATGCCTGAAGAGATTTTTAAAACTCATCTAAATACCATTAAACATCTGCCCTTTTTATTTCATTGATTTAAACCATTTCTGAAGACTCATGATTCAAAAAGGTAAAGATGGTAATTTAAAAGCCATGGGGAAAAATCTCTCCCCAGGGAACTTTTCAGAAAAGCAGCCACCAGTCTCTGATAAGTGATGAATCTGTTGTGGTATTGCTTTCAGTACAGTATAAATTTATCTGGCATTATCTCCCAGTAATGCATGCATCATTTCACTGGAAGCAAAGATCGGATGGCCGTAAGAGCAAACAAAGCAGGGGAAATAGGAGAGCAGGGCAGAGAGCAGCAGGTTCCCTGGCTTTAGATGAGAAAATATCTGTGCCAACAGTCACCATCATTACAAACAATTTAGCAAGATAAACACTGTTTGCAAATTCAACTTAATGAACCAGGAAGACAATTTTGAATAGAGGAGCCTATGATTGTTTTTGACTCTTTTTAGGCAGTATGTAACTCAAGTGTTTTAAATGACCACCCCGACAGTAACGAGTAGGAAAAGGTAGGGGGCTGGGGCGGGGGGGGGGGGGTCATTTACCAGTATTAGATTTTTTAAAGAACCGCTAACGGGGTGCTTAGTCTTGTGTGTATTTAATAACATCAGATGTATTTTTTCATCTGAACCGACCAGAAATGCTTTCATACGCTTTAAAAAACATTTCCCCCCCACGGACGTTCCTGTATATTATCATTTTTTTCGTAATTTTTTTTGTTACATGCAAAAACAGATCTACCAACACTGCGCCCGATCTATATCTATCATCAGTTGCATTACTCCCCAATTCCTTTAAATGTCACTTTTAATTTAATTACAATTAATTTCTTTAGCAACATCTTCAAAAGTACAAGTGCACTTGAGGAGAACCCAACGGAGCTTTGCTGGAGAAAAAACAGAGAAAGCTGAAACCGAAACCCTTTCAGGACACTCTGGCATTGTCAGGCTGACAGGCCTCTAGGATTTCAAGGCCTATCCCTATACTGCAGGTACAACACAAAATAGGTCATGTTCACCTTTTCTTGTGGCAAAAGTAAAGAGCTGCTAAGTTCCTGTATGAAGTCACAGAGCGTAGGCAAGTAAAAGGCCAGCCCAACCCAGGGACTCACCTTCCAAAGGATCCTTATTGAGCCCCAGCTGGCTAATGATGTACCTGGGAATGTCAGTTTTAATACCCTGTCCTTCTTTGGCATGGCCTTCGGCTGCTTCCAACAGGTAGTAAAATTCTTCAGGATCAAATTCCTAGCAGAAGACAAACACAGATGGAAACTAACTTGAGCCAAAATTCTCTGAGGTTTTAATGCATCAATTCCTTTCACAGTAACATTTGCTGGATATACATGGCTGTGGTTTGTGCAGAAAGGAAGCAAATGATTTTAAAAAGTATATAATTCTCACCTTGTATTTGAAGCCTTTCATATTCTGAGGCAGTACATTTAAGTCCTTGGTAACTCACAGAATGACCACTTCCAAATTCCTCGTAATGTAACTTTGGAGGTTCTGTATATGCTCCATTTAAGAAATCTATCTCATTGAAAATGAACAAGTCTAACATTTTAATTATGCTTTTTGAGGAAAACTTTAAAATCCAGGGGGCGCCTGGGTGGCTCAGTGGGCTGAGCATTCAACTCTTGATTTTAGCTCAGATCATGATTTCAAGGTTCATAAGGTCAAGCCCTGCATCGGGCTCTGCGCTAACATCACAGAGCCTGCATGGAATTCTCTCTCTTCTCTCTCTGCTCCTCCCCCTCTTGCTCTCTGTGTCTCTCAAAATAAGTAAATTAAAGAAGTAAAATTAAAAAGGTAAAATAAATAAAATAAGATAAAATCCAGAAATCTCATCCAGAAGATTCAGTTACTCCTTCTCCATAAACAGCCACAAAAGGAGTAATGCTAGAATATATATTCTCAAACGTTTTACAGGAAACTCCATTAGTATAGAGGTATCCAAAAATATTTTTAAAAATCTCAATATTACCATTTCATCAGTATATCCTAAAGTTAATATTCCCATAATGTGAAGATGAAGAAAGAAAAATATGAAATTAATGTTTTCGATTACCAGTGCCTATTTTAAAAATTTGGTAGCACATTTTACTCATGTCTTTTACTCCCTTTGGCTGTTACTTCTAGGATGTAATAAAAATCTTTAGGATTCCATCACTCTAGATGGATGCCATGGGTTTATGTGGCGTAAACAATTATGTTTACGGATTTAAATGACAGTTGCTACTTTCAGTTGTATTTCCTAAATGTTATTCCCCCAGGATGTTACCCATTTTGATTAATGCCCCAAATAGGCAACTTTAGAATATCAGCATTTCACCTGAATTACTCAAGGGTTTCTAAAGATTATGTATAAAGAAAGCTCGCTGTAAAGAGAGTAAAGCCAAAGGAGCGTATACACTCAGTGCCCTTTCTGTAAACCTACAATGATACACAGCACAAGCCTGAAACAGTAGGTATAAGACCAGTGGTTGGGGAATGTTCCCTAAAACTCTAAAGCTCCAGTTTCAACAGAGCTTCAAATCGTGTTGAAAACAGCAACATTTTCAATTCTACTTCTGAGCTCACTCGTTTCTATCTTTGAGAGGCTATACTTTTACTTTTTCTCTTCTGGTGTGGAGCGATGACTGAAAAAATTCACTTCCTCTTTTAAGGCAAGATTGTCTATTCGCGTATCTGCTGTTGTCCAGAGAAACAGGTTAGAATGCTAAGTGGTATTTTCCCTCAAATGAAGCAAATGCAGGAAGTCCACGCATGTGGTGCATAATTCAAAAAGTACAATGGGAGACGCAGTACAAAATCAGACTTCCTTTTGCTGGCATTTGCCAGTCACACAGTTCTCCTCCCAGAAGCATTGAGAGTATTTTTTCCCCCCTTTATCCTTCCAGAGACAAAGCCAAATGGTGCTTTTGATTCTGTGGTTCTAAGGGTCCTGGCCACTGATGGAAAGACCTACTCCACCATGCCCCGCCCTGTCTCCTCAAGATTTCCCTTCTCCCGTGACTCTCAATGCACTGGTATATTTTTTAGGGGGCAGTGAACATTCCACTATTACAAAAAAGCTATGAATTTTAATAAAAATAAGGGCAAAACCCTAGCAATCCCACCCTATACGTATATGTGTGCATGTGTAATACCGCAAAGCTGTACTGCACGGGGTACAAATATTTCTGAAGTGTTGCAAATACTTTAGTGACTAGCAGAACTTAAAAGTGAGTGTTGATACAGTGCTAAGCCCCTTAAAACTATTCTCAGGCTCAAAGCTTCATGTGTGTTCACAGTGTGGACTGAAATTTCAACCAGAGTTACATAAAACAAAAATTTTTAAATAGGAAAATGATTGACAAAATGAAGTAATCTCTGAAAGCCTCACTTCTTGTCTGTATGAGACGCTGGGGTACTTGCCCAAGCTGGTTGCTGCCTAGCATTTATTTCTAACAGGCCGCATTTTAAAAACAGATGATAATAACTATAGATTATTATATATCATATTGCTGGTGTCCCTTTTTCTGCATCTTGCCAACACCAAAAAAGTAAGGCTCAAAGTGTTTTAAATTAATTGTCACCTAGTATCTATGCTAAGGTTAACAAGCACATTAGTTCATGATTATCTTTCATGTTTGACCAGAATGTGATGTGATTATCACTGAATACAGCACAAATCCTAGAACTCTGACTTAAAACCAGAAAACAAAAATCACATCAGGATGTCCTCATAAACATTCACAAGTTGTAGTTCCTGCTGACTCTTTCCATTTAACTCTGGTCTTTGAAGCCAAAGAAACTGAAAGTTTCTGATGGTCACTGCTTTCCCACAGTTAACAGTAAATAATGGAGTCACATCTAGGGGCAACTTACCAGACACTCTAATAATCGAGCTGGGCGGGCAATAACAATTAGGATCTTTCGAACCAGTTGTTTAATAAATGCCAATTCTCCACTTTCTGAACGATCATGAGCCTACAAGAAAGATGATACAGAGTTGCTCTATTCAGTGGAAAAGGAAATCAGCAGAGCACGCTAATTAGATAATTACAAATCTCTGAAAATTAAGTGATTTAGAAAATACCTTTCACAGACAGATAAGCGGACATTATCTCTTCATAAATGGACACCGTTAAAATTCTTTACCTACAAAATGGCTCTATTAGCTAAATTTCAATTGCATAACTTTGATCTATTCGGTGTTAAAAATCAAATGTTAAAACTCCTAATGTGAACCATGAATGATGGAGAGATTAAGAGATTATGATGCATTAAGTACATGATACAAGTGGAGTGCGAGGCTGATAAGGGACCTTGATTTACCAGATATAATAGCAACGTTAGCTATGAAATGGCTAACACAGTGAAGGGCTGCTTTTGTTATCCTGGACATTTAACACAGTCATGAAATATATTTTACACGTGCACCATGATTAGCCTACAAATTTGTTATTTTACGACCTGTAAGAAGTGTGCACTGCTGATTTCAAATGTGAGGGAGATAACGTTTATACGTGGATATATTCATACCAATTTGATTTCGCATATTGAATAAATTATACCTAGGCACTCAAGTCAGTAAAATTTGACTTTAAATCTTTTTAAATTTTATGTTATCGTGTGCCTGGGTGGCTCAGTTCATTGCATCTGACTTCAGCTCAGGTCATGATCTTGTGGTTGACGAGTTCGAGCCGCACGTCAGACTCTGTGCTGACAGCTCAGAGCCTGGAGCCTGCTTCGGATTCTGCGTCTCCCTCTCTCTCTGCCG